GGAGCCTGCTTCGCTTAAGGAACTTTGAGATGGCACATTCTCACCGATTCTCTCGATTGGTTCAGTTGGGCGGTGGGCCCTTTGCTTGAGGCGATCGACGGTTTCACTGCGTCTGGGGAAGCCATGTACAAACTCACTGGCAACCAGGACCGAGGTTCCGGCTGGGAGTTTGCATAGCCGAAAGGGTTGGGGTTTCAGTGGGCCGGACGGCCGAACGTGTGTAGCCAATGCATTCACCAGAGGTTCATGCTAGGAGCTTACGTAAGTACTGGGCACTGTTACTCCCGACTTCAGGTCGGAGCTCATCCTTGGAAGGGCCCAACGTTGCAGAAGTGGATCCATGAAAGCCCTTTCGTGTAGTACATACAATTTTCATGTGTAAACGAAAGCTATGGAGTACAATGAGCGGGGGCCTCACAATTTCCAGTTAGGTTGGGGATGACCTTTAGCTTTTCTACTTTGTTCAGTGGCCGCTTTCTTTGCCCAGTCTCTTGAGTGGGTGACTTCGTTTTTCGTCGCTGAGCATTTTCCAGTAGGCCATGTATCTATACTCACTTGCTTGAGTCAACCCCCACCAACAAAATGAGAACAGCTTGGATTGCTGAGTCTATTTGGATGGAGGAGCAGGTCCAGATGGCTTTCTGGACGACTGGATCCATGGTCATGCAGAGGGCCTTTTCGATAAGGCAATTGGTAGATGCTTGGAAGGTTCCGCAGTACAGAAGATGGCTTTGAACTTAGACTATCAGTTCAATGTCAACGCTGATCAGTGAACCGCTAGGTTTAATGCTGGGGTGGCACTCCAAAAGTGATCCGGATTCTCTCCAGAATGGGACACCCTGTTCATCAGTTCAGTTGAAGACACAGGGGGAAGGGCCACATGCAGCTGTTCCTTCCCTGCCCACGAACCTTTTTCGCCCTTTCCCCAGGACATGGCCTCCCAGCTCATGCTTCAACGATGCCGCTCGCCGGAAGTCCGAAGTACCGCAATCATGCAATCCCTTGCCAGGAGGATTGTGTCCATGTTCATCGGCCCGAACATGCTTTTGTTCCTGTATGAGCCATAGTCAACACACACAAAATATTTCAAACAGGACCTGGAAGGATGCGGAGCGCGATGGAGTTCGACGGATTCAAGAAAAATATCCCCCCTCCCGCTTTCTTAAGATCTCTTCGCTTTCGCCAGCTGGAGTCTGGAGCTGCACAGCGTGGCAAGCGTAAGGTGGCGAAAATGCGTTCTAGGCCTGGCTTGAAAGCAGTGCCCTAGCATGCTGAAGAAAAGCAGAGTTCCTCAGCAGAGAGTCGGGCCTATTGTGCTGGCCCCACGAGTCAGAACCACGAATAGGTGCTACATTGCTTCTTTGCTGGTCTGTGCATGGTTTCGGGTAGGCCCTTTTGACATCAGGCTATGAGGACTCGCAACTTGTCCAAGTGATTTTCCTAAATCGGCTTGGTAGGATTCAAATTTGACCAAGATCAGGCTCAATCTTGTTTGTCGGATTGGAGGTATGGCGGCTATATTTATGTCACTTACGTATGGGGCACAAAATGCGTTACATGCTTGTATTGCTGGTATGTAACTTCTTGACCAGCGTGCGAGAGAGAGAGAGAGAGTGTTCAGATCTGGAGGATGAGGCGACTTTGGCAAAGAAAACCGCGTTGCCTGAGCAGTATCTCGTTTCTTCTCGAAATTGAGTAGATTCCTTTCTATTGCCCAGGAACCACTGACCATGCCCTTTTTTTTGCAAGCGCCAACTTCTGATGTTCCTTCTGAAAATCCGCCCAGGCACGTCGTACATGGCCAACCCCCCGCGGGAGGATTGGGATGGCGCAACTTGGCCCACTCTCGCAAAAACTCCGAGGTTCCATCCGGAGGCATAGCTTTCAATCGAAACTTGCTAGGCACAAACCCAAGCTTTTCATACACGGGCTCGGTCATGAGACTGGTGACGTTTTGTATTTGTTACTGGTCTACCGTGCAAATGGAAGAGCGCCCCATTGTTTTTTTTGTTCGTTTTATCCCTATATTTCCACTTCCAGGGCGCTCTAGAAAGCAACCCTGGGCAAGGCCAAGAGAGTCAGAGTGAGTTGCCAGTTGGCGGGACGTAGAGGAAACCCAGCCACTCCCCTACGTTTGGTTGTTTCTACCATCATGGTACCCCTTGCCCCCTGAAACTTCACAGGGAGATACAGCCATCAATATGGCCACTATGTAAAGTAGGGGCGAGCCAGGAGATGCCCCGAAGAAAATAACATAAAGGCTACGTCTACATCTTGTCTGGTGGGTGCCTTGGAGGTATTGGAAGCCATAGATTGCCGCCGGCCCTTTGCAGAGGGGGGGAAAAAAGCCTGAGGTGTGGGACCGCAACGATGAGAAGTGAGCCAAGGTTCCCGCCTCCCAGTGTAATCTGGGTCAACGTTGGCGTACGAAAATCATAAGTAATGCCAGGTTAAAAGGTTCAACGTGCACCAGGCTTTCCAGCGTATGATGATGGGAAACGATTAATATATGAGGTGAGTGCTTTACATTGAGGAAGCTGAGCCGTGGCCGGTGCGTTTGAGTTTGCGAGAGTGTCATCTTGACATTTGACTTGTGAGACTGTATGCTCTTCCGGTGGCTGAGGTTGACAGGAAACAACACGGCCAGGCTTTGTTCAGCGATCAAGTTGGCAAGTGACATGTAGAGCTTGTCAAATTCATATTTTACTTGTTGGTACCGGACCATTGAACCATGATTGCTATTCAGACCACTGCTAATCACCCCTATTTCGTGGGCTCGAGCGAGCATTTGTTCACTTGCCAAAAGCCAACGCTTTCACTTTTCCGTTTCCCTGTTTGGTCTATTTGTGGTAAAGATACTTTGCCCTCTTGATTGGGGTGTCTAGATTTGATTGCTGGATTACGCGTGGATCCAGCAAGCTTTTTATAGGCAGTTGCTGTCAGTTGTTGCCAAATGCTTGACTTAGAGTTCAATCCACATAGAATGTCACAAATCATACTGTTGCACAGCAATTTGAACACCCGGCGTTTGCATTGCCATCCAAGCCACTGAGCCAACGTTCAGTGCACTGGGAGGGTGGGATGACCGCTTCGCGCTGTGGCCTCGGGCGCATTTGGCAGCCCACAGCGTGCAGCTCACCATTGTAAAACCATTGGCCTTGACTTCGCCGGAACGCGCTTGGCCATTTCAATGCAATTTCATGCGAATGGATCCAATACGGATCAACGAGGTTGCAACGGAGTGTCGAGAGATATTATTTTCGCTGGCAGGTAAGCTTTAGTTTGCCTCTTTTGCTGCTGGTTTATCCCAATTGCAAGCGGCTGGCAGCCGCTAGTTATCCAGGAGCCGTTGCATGTGAGTCTTTCCTTGGATGCGTCTGAGCTGAAAACGGGGGTGGGGCGAGGGCCCTGTTTTCCCACAGCGAACCGGTTTTTCCCGTTCAGCCAATCCATGCCAATCCTCTTCAGACGGTCAGTTTCGTGATGGATGGCTTCAAGGAACCAAACGGCTGTGACAATTCTTCGGCTTTGGGCTCAACAGGTCGCTCGTCGACATGAACGGGATGCCCCGTGCCCGGAGGAATGCAAAAACCATCAAAAACCCATAGAATCCATGGCCGAGTTGGACCCCAAGATGACGGCGCTGTTTATCCCCACACCAGGGCTTTGGATTTATATAAATTTATTACATTCACGCGTGCAGAAACGGCAAGTGTTTGCATAAGCGAGCGTGAGTGGATTGAACATGTCCAACTTCCACAGTTGGTGTTGCGATTTCTGCAGCGCTCGGATGGCTTCTACCGAGATCGATACCATAGCACGAGTCCAATGACCGCGGTGTTTGCAAATAATATAGTGCACACGCACACACGCACACAAACCGTGCAGCCTACTTTCAGAAAGATGCCGATCTTGGAAGGCCGCTGAACACAATCAACACATGCGAAGCAGATGGCACAATTCTCTTCATGCCGGTAAGTCGAGGGAATGACTAACCGAAAATTGGTTAGACTTGTGCCCCCAATTTAAAGGGACACCAGCAAGACACCCACCATTTTGGGGGTCCACCTATGTTGACACATACGCACGCCTAGTGCTTCTTCCTGCCTTATTCTTCGCCCGCAGCTTCCAGTCAGGCGGCGCCCGCAGCGCTCTCCTCAGGCATGGCCACAGTCAAAGTCTGGGTGCACTTGGGAAAAAGCAAATGGCACACAACCTCCAGTTTGGTTTAGTATCATTCTATATCATTCTATTTGTGCCCGCATAAAGGGAACTGGGCCATTTTCTTGCACACGAGATTACACGGCGGGCTTCACCAAATATGCACTGATCACATTCCTATGTTCCTATGTTTCTTTGTGGCCTCATTCGGCGACGTGTTCCCGCAACCAGCTAGGAGCTTACCAGCGTCATGTACTGAAGGCCAGAAAATTAAAAGTGGACATCGGCTGAAGGAAGAGGAGCTTGCAGCATATCTAATGTTACTAGCACCTAGCACAAAACAACTAGAAGCGATGGGGCAGAGGGGCCAATGCTGCAGCTCGTCTCTTGAGAGCATGTGCCAACCGGCAGTTCTCATGAGGCTGGGGCACTGGGGCATGTCATGTACTTTGGTATTCGGGGGAAGGGGGAGTCCAGCCCCCAGCAATCACTCCCAATGACCCTTGAAATGATACCATGCCTTATTTGGTCTAATTTGGGCCGAATGCTTATTAGGCTCTTTTGGGCCAACTGCTAGTGATGCCTTCGCCAATGGACGCCATGGTCACTGACTGGGTGTGTCTCAACTATAGTGTATCCCCTCAAACGGGTAGTTGTTTCCAAACTCTTTGAGAGGACTTTCTTTGGCCCCCTCTCCCATAAACAGGGTGTTTTTTTTCCGCAAAAAATGCAACTCCAAGCAGGGGCTGGGCACATTGGGCCTAAGATGCCGAAGGCCTCCGCGCTTTCGCAGCCGCTTGCTTTCGGCCGAGAAAATGCGGCCGTCCAAATCGTCAGCCATGGACTTCCAGCTGCGGCCCCTGGCGGAGGTTCCGGAGGCGCAGGGAATGAGCTCGTCTTGCGCTTTTTTGGGGTAGGTGCACCACCCATTTTAGTCTACTTTAGTGGGGATTGGGATGTTCACTGGGGGTACGGGCTTTTGACCCATGGCCATATAGCGAGCACACCTGAAATTATAGCGAGCTCACCGTGTCAAAGGTCCTTCACTTGGGGATCCCTGCAATCAGCTTTTGGAATTATTGTAAAATTGCAGATTCATTTGCCCACAAGTCAGCAGTTTGCAGGGGGCTCCGTTGCTGCAAAGGGCACAATGGAGGATTTTTTTGCGAGTTTTGTTCATGATTAAAGTGGCCTAAATGAAACCTGTGTTTAGCGTGTGGTTCGTGTTGGCTGCGGGTGGGTTAGTAACAAGGGCGCAATCTTTGCCCCTGACTGCCCTACAAAGGGGCTCGTGTACTTTTGATGCTTGCCCTTGTGGCAACCACTCCGCCAGACCTCCCAGAAGTTGATAATTGCGTAATGCTTACCATTGCTCTTCCTGTGTTTTTCAATTCAGGGAAAAAAAGAAAAGAACAAAAAACACGCGTTTCCAAGAGCCCAACCAGCTTCTTGCCGCCCGAAAAGTGGCGAAGACACGTTGCAGGCTTGCGCTTGCTCCTATGATGAGATGCACTTGCTCGCGGAGGCGCAGCACCCCGACCCCAAGCACGTGCTCGGAGTACAGGCGGGCCAGATGGCAGCAGGCCAACAGCTACTTGCCCGGGGGGTGTCCCAGCTATGAGACTCCGGGCACAAACCGTACAGGGTGATTGACCCCTTCAAAAAATATGTGCTCATACAATGTCTGTCCATCACTGGACTGCTGTGAATCCTGTTGAATCTGTATTTGGATTTTTCACGGCGTCCAGAATTTCCCCAGGTGGCGTAAACGTGAGCTTCCCCGTTCGGGGGTGTGAATGAGTCCGGCTGTTGAATTCTGTCTCCCTCTCTCTCTCTCGCTCACTGATTCGGATGGGCTGATGCGGGTTGCAGATCCCCAGCCGTTGAATGCGGATTTGAGCCGGACTTTACGCATAATACTACCGTATATTAGTTCCATGTCCCGGCCTTTTGTGGTGGGCAGGCTATAGACTTGGACAAAGCCTCCGTCCCTTCTTCCCCCCCCTCAGGATCTTGTTTGAACATGTTATATCCTATCCTGAAAGGTTGCTAAGAATGGACCAGCATCAGACATGTTATGCTCAGCTGGTGGCCAACTTAGCTGCTGGGCAACAGCTTGAGGTAGGGTAGGGGAGACTTTGGCGAGGTCATGGACCAGTACGTGGTGCTGCGCTGCTGGGTGGCAGGAGCTGAGGAAGTCGCTGTGATCAACCAGCAGGACGTGATCCGTGTCCACCATGGTCAAGAGACCCTACTTGGGATGGCCCCCTTGAGGGCTTCGGGGTTGTTAGCACAGGTCGGGTGGGGCAATGAGGCTCATATGTGGGCGCTTGGGTTTGTGTTCTTTTCATGGTGCATTATGGTACCAGTTTTTTGTGGATGCCTCAGAGCAGCTCTTCCACGTAAATGCCTTTTACAGTGGGAGTTGTTTAGTCCCTTTGCGCGTTCGCTGCTTGGCACGTATTGCTCTCATAGATGTTGCAGAGTTTCCCGTTCAGTGGCGTGGTTCTGGGGATGTGCCCCTGCAGTTGCCTTGGATTTATCAGCCTTAAGGGGGCATGTGTGGGAGAAATAAGGGCATGTCAAGGTAACTCGGGGGGCATCTGGTTAAACCTGTAGATCCCGTGCATCCCTTAGACAGCAACAGTCCAAGGAAGACCTCCTTAAAGCGTACAAGGGCGGATGCTTAAACTCAGAAGAAACAAGTCGCCTCCGCGAGCAGCGAGCGGATGGCGGATACGGGTGAGTTTGGTTCCGTACCAGTCACTGATGTCATTCTTAGGAGGGATTTCCCACCTCCCTCCTACAGGAGCCTCCAAGATGGTGCACAGTTAGTCAAACAACCCGGCCATGGATCCCGTCGAAGCAAACCCTGAAAAAGGATGTGCTTTTTGTGGTTTGATGGTGTACGCCAGGAAATTGACCCAACCATGCATGTCCTGCTTTCCCCTTGGCCTTCGCACTGTTGGAGGAGGTTAGCGTAGTGACGAACATGATGCCAAGGAGGTATATCATCCCCCACCATCCCACACAGGAACCCTTAAACAAACCAACCGTTTGGATCGCAAGGACATCTTCCTTCCTGAGAGCCCGGATGCCCGAGAAGACCCGCCTGCGCAGGTGCCTGGACTTTCCAATCCAGGGGAGTGTGGGGCCTTTTCTGCCCCTCTCGCTGCAAATGCAATCAAGTGATGCTTGCTCAAACAGGAACGTTGTCGTTCAAGCCGGTGGGTACCGCCATATATCATGTCCCTAGTACTTGTTGCAGCTACGCACCCTTTCGCTACGAGCTCGTGCCTGGTGTTCTGGCTTTGCTTTGCCGCTGTGCCGGTTGAGGGTCCTCAAAAGCAATACATTTCACCTTAGCTCCGGATTTGGTTGGAAAGTCTGCCCTCCCACCCAGAAAGGTGGAGCTCCCTTGTTGCAAGCATGTGCAAATCAATTTTATGTTTGCAAGCCTTTGCACTGGACTTTGCCGCTTGGTGACTTCAGGTGCCTCTGTTCCCTGTGGAGCATTGTCCCGAAGAATGCCCATGGCTTTTCGAGCGCGCCTTCTCCTATGAAGGCCAAGCGAGCGGCGTCCTTCGTGTCCAGTGCCGTATGCGTTTGTAGGGCTGGCTTCCTCTTGGGTCGCCCAGAAACCTGGAGTTTCGCACCACAAACATTTCTTGGCCCTCTTGCATTCAGTTAGGTTCGTGGCAGATGACCTGTGCAATCCTGTGCGTTGATCCAGGTTGTCACAAGCCACGGTGGTGGCAAATTTGGTTTCTGTTTGCTTAGGCCTTTGCAAGCCTTGTCGAAGCCTAGTGGTGCCGGCTATGTTTCTTTGCCCTAGTGTTTCTTGCCCAAAATCGAGGAACAGCGCTCTATCACCTGAGTGACAAGACGCGTAGCTGATGCATCCTTCTGCACAAGCTAAAGCTTTGATTATGTTTTGTGCTTCTACGGGCTTTCCTTCCAACTGCTTGTTTCATAGTCGATTCCCCTGAAGGTCAAAGAAAGCCACTTGTGGTCATGAAGTGTCGGCTACTGGCCAATGCAAGCCACGGTGGCAGCATTTCCTTGGAACAAGGGGTGATTCCGTAGAGAGATTTGGCAATGCCAGATTGCAAGGGGGATGCTTCCAAAGAAAGCAAGCCCCATGTTCCACAATCGGGAGATTGAGGCCAGCACAAAGTTGCTAGCATAATTTGCTGCCATCGCCAGAACAACTTGGCTGCCCCAAGCAGATACACTCCTTTTTGTCACTTTTATGATACTGTATGAGTCCGACAAGGTCACGCCAAGCAACCAGTCCAGCCCTCCCCCCCATGCCCGCTGCTCGGACGCCGGTCTGTCGAACCCATTCATTTTTGTGTTGCAGCATTCGCTTCAGGGAAAGAGGACAAATCTCAGCTGCAGCGATGGAGCTACGAGATTTGCGTCCAGCCGCTTGGATCGGCAATGCGTATCTACGACACATCGAGATGATCATGTTGTACCCCATGTTCACGTATGACAATGCAATCATCCGCCCCCCAAGTATTAACATGCGTTCCTCAGGTGCTGTGTGGGTCCGGGCAGAGGGTCCCCCTATGCTGGAGGACGGTGGGGGATGAATTTGGCAAAAACTGCCTCAGTCCCTCTGGACAACTGGCGATAGTTTTTGTGTTTCACCCATGCCCCCTGTGGGCGAGTTGACCAACAGGCCACAGCGCATAGTAGTACACGGGCATCCCAAAATGGAGCGGAGCACGCTCCAAAAAGTGTGTTCCATGGCCAACAAATTTCCTTTTGCAAATTCTCAACTTGACTTGCCAAGTCAAGTGAACGATTGTATGGCTTTAGACTCTAGAAGGATATGCCAGCATCTCTTCCCCTGTAGTTAATAGAAAGGTCCCCCTAACCCAAATAATCAAGGCCATTTGTTCAAAGCGGAGAGCTTCTCTTATGGTGGCTCTCTAACCCTGTATGCAGGGGGTGGGGGTGGGTAGGATTGTGCGCCGCACCTGGGTATGGAGCCCTTTGGCATATTCATACTTGGCTTTGATCTTGTTTTTCTTAGGATGCCCGCGTTTCTTGCCGAAGCCTTCGCCGAATAGCACGCTGAGGTACAGTGGCGGAGCCACGAGTGTTCTGACCTACCCACATTCCCTAGGACGGGGTTTGGATGGCGGCGGGCGGTGCATTCAAGAACTGGTGGGGTTCGTCAAGACTTCCCTCGAAACTGGGAAACCCTGTCACACACAATATTTTCTTCTGCCATCCGTCGCTTCTCTGCAGAAGTTTGTGGCTTTTCCTTAAAACAAAAGTGAGGAGCCGCGATTTTGCCACACCCTCCGCAATCTCCTTCAGGCTGCGTCGGACTGCTCTGACACTTAGCGGTGCGCATTCCTCTCACAGTTGCTTGCAGCCTGGTAGGCCCTGTGAAGACTTGGAAGTCGCCCGAGAACAGCCTTTGACAAATGATGTTGCATTTCATTTGGGAAGGGCGGGTTGGTTGGGCCCCTGCTTCTTGACGGCGTGCTTTCCAACATGTGAGGTCCTTCCCCACACAGGAACCAGCTGCTAATTGCATCGAGTGGGCGACGCTCGACACATGGAACCTGCATTGTTTGCGGTTTGGGGACTTTGGTTTGCGGGTTTGAATCTGAAGTTTCTTCTCAAAAATTGGAAGCACCACCCCATGCAACCCGTTTAACTACAAGCTTTTTGCCAGTCCATGTCTCTGCCACCGCAGGATCTCTGCTACCTGAGAACTTCCTCACGGGCTGGGCACATGGCATGACGGAGACCCCGCCGGCGGCCATGTGCCTCTGTGCAGGGGCAAGGCACAAATCGGGGCTTCAGACTTGAGCCTGTAGATTTCATATGGGTCGCCAGTTACGGTGATGGTTGATTTCCCTGGACTCAACCTGGTGATTTGTTTTTAAGGGCGTGTGTTGCCACAAACGTGATCCAGGAGTCTTTCTGAAATTGGGTACCTTATATTCATATACTCAATGAGGGGTGTATGAATCCTGGGTTCCCATTTTGTGAACCCAAAAAGGGGTGTGTCCAACAGGAGCTCTAGCTGGGTTGTCGTTTTTTTTTCTTGTGCAATTGCGCAGATCAGCTGCACATGAACCAGAATCATCGCTATCCCAATGAATCGTGAAGAGGACTATGCGGGGCTATGCCAGCAAATTATTTCAAGCTAGCTGAACCCACTGCCATCTCTTGTGAACCAAGCTCAACCTACACCTAAGAGGTTGGCAGGCCATTCATGCAAGGCCGTACGGTGAGATGTGTTGGCCTACAAATTCTAGGCAACTTGACTTGATTGCTATTCGGTTGGATCTTTAGACTTTTGGTTGAAACTGTGGGTTGTCCATTGAACCCACAAAAAGTTACACTTTTTGCAGATGCAGAGGGGTCAACAGCGACCACGGGCAAATTGTGACAATTGGGACTCGGGGGCATCCCAAGGTGAGTTTGAACGGGCGGTTCTGGCCAGAGCCACTTATGCTTGCGAAGAAAGCTTGGGAATCTCTGCCCGAATTTGCACTTGCCTACGCAGCCGCAAAATGTGGCATTGGGGGAGCGGGGTGGCCCCGGAATTCCATTTACGGTCTTATCACTTACATGTACTTGCGCGAGACTACTGGAAACCGGCGTGTGTTTAGGAACTCTGGACAAGCTGTGATGCCTCATAGGGCCCCTCAAGTCAAATGGGACAGGGTGCCAGTTTCATCCGAGGTTCGGAGCACATCATATGGAATTGCACACTTACAAGACAGGCGCATCGCCGACTGCCAGCCAGCCATTTTCCAGTTTCGAGGCCCTTTTGGCATTTATATGGTAATGTATTGGCCATTGGCAACTGCATTTTCAGCCAACGATATCTGCAGTCATGAAGTTTCCGAGGGCGATGCATTCGTTGCTTTCTTGGGCCTTCTTCAGGTGAGCTAACTTGTGGCAAGATTGGTCTCGGCCGCCCTGTCGACTTTGCCTTTCGGAAGGACATCAGAATCAGCATGCGTCCGGCGCAGGCTAGCAGCCTTGTGAACTTTCAACATTTGCAAGGCTTCAGAATCTCTGACCGGGTCGAGGCCCCGGCAATTGGAAACTCGCTTACAGGCAACTGCATGGCACATACTTCCACCCATCGCTATCCCATTGAAGCCCCTTGCTTTCCACAAGTTTGTCGGTCAACCCAAAAAAAAGAGGCATCCTCCAAAAGAGACACAGTTATAAATGGCACGTGGTCAAGGCTTCCCGCTTATGGTTGGCCAGCCAAGAATCCAACCGCGATCTACCCATTCTGGGAGCAGCCAACGGTCACGCTCCCATTTAACTGGATCCCCACACAGGGAGTCCTGACAGAGAGCACTAGGCGTCACAATGCCCAAAAGGCACTGACTAACTCTGTAGAGGAGGCCATAAGAGTCTTTGTGTTTGCTTCTTGTTTTTGTGGACCCTCTATACAACACAAAATGTTAGCAACAACTCGCACACGTATTTGCTTTGTGACTTCACCCATGACGAAGGTCACGTTTGGGCTATGATTCAATGACTTGGCACGGCTGCAATTATCGTTTTTCAGGTGTCAACTGCAGTAACTTGTTGCACAGACGTTTCCCCAGGTCCAAGCATTGAGGCTGTTTGCGGTCAATCTGCCTTTTGGTGCCAGACACTGGCTTGGCGCAACTCTAAATAAGTCCTATTGGACTGGAATTGATTTGTGTCAAAGCCACGTGTATCCGATGGGATCCCATTTACAATTCAGCGGGTCACGGAGCCCAAACTGCGCCAGGCTTGTGGGGCACTCGCTTTGCGGTCTGGGCGCCCCGTGCGCATTCGGCGCCTCGGACCCGGGTGCGTGGTGGGGCACCCTTGCCTCTCGCTAGACAGCCCTTTTGTGTCCACGATGCTTGCTTCCCTGAATGTGGCAGGCACCCAGTTTTTGTTGTGTTTTTTTTTGGAGCGGGGATTCCCAACAAACAACTACCGCAAAAAAAAGGGGCCTTTTTCCCGTGCCCACTAAGTGATTCCTCGAAACTCACAATGTCTCATTCCGCGATGTGACTGTGGAGTGGAAAACTGCCGTTGTGAGTCTTTGGCTGAAGCCAATTGGGTAATGTTGGAGAGTGATTAATAAAGGCCCCCCCCGCCTTCAAACGAATTGGGGGGGGTCAATAGCGACAACCCCAAAAACAAAATGGAGGTCAGACTGGGACCTGCCTGAGTAATTTTCCAGTAAGTATTGTTTAGAATTGGTTTGGTATTGGTTTAGTATTCCTTTGAGCTGGCTCACTACGGTTTAGAATTGGTTTAGTATTCGTTCAGTATTCTTTTCAATTGACTCACTACAGTTTAGAATTGGTTTAGTATTGGTTCTTCTTCTTGGCAGGCTGCCCGGCTAGTTTTTTTTCACAGTTCCCTACCCTTAAACAAGCTGCATTATTGCCTTCCTGGGGGTTCCGTGTGCCACCCCCTTGAACATTTGTCAGGGTGAATCTTCTAGTAAAGGGATTGATAAGGAATTTTGTGGTTTGGGACAGGAAGCAATCCAGAGATTCTGGACATTTCTGGCTGGGCTCAAACGTTTCAACCCTCAAAAATAGTCCATTCTTGGAAGGGAACATATTTTCGGGATTTCGGGCAGATGTTTTTCTGTAATACCTACCCTTTTTGCTTTTCAGAGTTAATTATTTTGGAGACTTTTTTGTTCTGTATTCACTCCCCTTTTATTAATCGCTATCTAACATTACTCATGTTTTGGGACCCACTTGTTCTATTTTCCAAAGGCGCCAGGTTTCCCTCATTTCCCTTACTGCAGGGCCGGATCAATCCGGGACGGATTGTGTCTCTTAGTGTTTGTGTGTTTGTCCCGCTCGGGCCTTCGCTTTTCGCACGGCGCTCGCTCGCTTACGGCGCGGGAGTTCGTAGGTGAGCGTGGTGGGGGACTTCAACTACTGGGACTGCCGGGCGCATCCCATGTGCTCTCGGGGGAAGTACGGCGTCTGGGAGATCTTCCTGCCCCGCTGGGACCTGCGAGGCGCGCTCGCCTTTTGCTCGCCTTTTTGAAGCCGGGCTGAGGGATGCGAATCCCGGCGATCCGTTTCTAAGTCAGCTGGCGGCTTTTCAACTGGCCCGAGTGCAAGGTTTAAGGAACACTGTGTGGAAGTGCACCGGGCCAAGGTTCTCAGAGCCCTTCGGCTAGAACCTTGTGCAGCAAGCTTAGCCAGTTTCTGTAAGTCTTTCACCCAGGTCTATGAACTCCCTAATGTCAAGTAAATGGTCAATGGCGCCGTTGATTGCTGACCTCGCAGGCCAGAAGTATGCCTACCACATCATGACCGAGACACTCAAGAAGGTCATCAAGGCCAGGGGTATTTGGGCCGTTTCTTTCGGGTGGGGCCTTCCAGAATTTTCTCCAGAGCTTTGCGCTTTGGGCTTTCCGGCATTGGCATGCCAACCTCTTAATGAATTTGGAGAGGGCGAGTGGAGCAAGAAGTTGTGATGGTTCCAAGCTTTTCTTGGGACTTGGTCAAGGGAGACTAAACACCCTCCTGAATGCAAATATTTGGAGATCCTTGCGGCTGTTCAGCGGAAGTACCGTATGTTTTTCAGATTGAACTGTTGGCTTCATGGCGACATGGGGCAATGCGTTTCTTGCTGTGTGGTAGGCCCATGGTGCATGAACACGTTTATTTTACGTTTTCTATTGCGTCTCTATGTGGTTGGTCTTCTTCCCATGAGAAGTTTCTGTGCGCTTGCATCCCAAGGTGTCGCGGGGCTCCGAAGCTTGAGCCAGTGTCCAAACCATCGGGTGGAAGACTGGCGTCGGGTTTTCTTCGTGGGAGCTTCAGCCTTGGATCTCAGGTAGATCCCTATGCCCTGGAGTTTGTGGAGCCCTCTGCTGGCCACGATGCCGTGGTCCCGGAGTGCGACGATTACGGCCGCACGGCCTGGAAGGGCAGCTTCCCGTGGACCGATGAGGCCGGCGGGGTTTGGCTGAGACAAGGCGGACCTACTCAGTTGCCCTCATTTTCTGACTGTCAGACGTTGAAGGTCAGATTTGCCATGATTTGCCATGATTTGCAGGATCCCTCGTGAAGCGGATGATTTTCGGATGAATCCTTGGAAGGTTGAAGTGCGGTTCGAAAGCGAAGCAAGTTTGAGCAAATGGCGGGAGGCACATGTTGTCCCAATTTGTCTACATTGTTTTTCTCTCTGCTGTGCTAGCTTTTTCTTTTATCGTGGCTCATGTATTTGGAGAGGGGCAACCGGCAACCTGTACGGTTTTGAGTTGCTTTGTCGCGGGTGTGAGTGAGTTGCGATGTGGCAGGAGCAAGGTTGTTAGAGTTGTGCTTGTCTTTTGTACTTACTTTCTAACAGCTTCTTTTGGGAACAGGCTGCCCCTCATGGACCCCCCACATGTGTATATTAGTCTATGAATGCGCACACATATAAATATGTATATATATGTATATATATATATGTGTTATTTGTTCGAGTTTCCATTCAAAGCGTATCCATTTATCCTTATATGATAACTTATGTGCCACATGGATTACGTTGTTTCCCTTTCATTGGACTCCGGCAACATTGTCACTTGCGGGTTGAGACAAGGATCATGGGGCCATGTTGTTCGGTTTTGGCCCCCCCCAGGAGCAAAGAACAAAAAATACAAATCCCACATCAAAATAAAACAGATCCCTGGCGACAAAGCAGCAAACGGACAGAACAACCAGCCCCTGAGTTGAATCTCCACCCGAGATCCTCCCAGGACTGGCTGGCCACACGCCTCGCCAAGTTCGGTGGGGATTGGAGCGCGCAGCCCTTGTCCATCTATGAGGCGCGAACATGAGGAACCCAACGTAGTAAGGGACAGTCCCAGACAGAAATAGGCGAGGGCATCCGGTCCGCGCACATGGTTCTGGGTTGACGCCTTGGAAACAGGGATTGAGATTCTCACTCACGTCATTTGCGTGGCCCCAGAAAAATCCGGGATGCCTTTTGGAGCAACTGCGAAAGTCGTTCCAATGGTTTTTGCCCTTGCGATTTAATTGCCATGATCGTTAGTGGGGAGAGCTGTTTTCGGAAGTCGTCTCGTTTCTTGCCATCACATTGGGCTTTGGGAAAGCTGTTTGATGCACGATTGAGGCTGCGTTTTCCATGCTGAATCAGGCTTGGATTCACTTGTTGCACATTGTAGCTCCTGTGGCCTATGGTGTTTGCTGCGTTGGCGGCTCCTGTCTCTACGGCCAGTCCTCGGACTTGCGCTAACTTGAAAGGGGCCAGTCATGGCTGAGGGGATGCTGAGGGGCAAACATTTAGGGAGCATTAGGGAGGCCACATGAAATGCGGTGATTCTGGCATTTTTTGGTATTGAACCAATGCTTGAAGTCGTTGGGTTTTCCCTAAGCTGTTGTATCGCGGTGTTATCGCCCACCTGCGGGCAAGTTGATGTGCCCTAGGGAAGCAACCTTCAGCTTCAACCAAGCAAGGGACACCAGAGGAAGCACCTCTCGCAATGAAGACTCATGCCATGGCTCCATTTCTCCCCCTCCCCCGATTTGTGTTTGGTTTTGTTTGCTTGCAAAGGTTCAACTCCGGAAGTAACGGCATGACAGGAAAACATACTTGCTGCCTGAGGAAACATCCCACATGACCGGCTTCACTTTCTCATTGGGAAACGCGGACCTGCTAGGGACATCCCTCAATTGGATTCCCCAGGCGTCCGCAAAGAACCGTCGAAAGAGAGTTTACTTTTTGATGTTTGCGTCGGAAATACGCGCAGCAGGTGCCCGCAAACAGTGCAGAAGCTTTTACGGGCGACGGATCGTCATCCCAGCAAGCCATTTGGCCGACGGGGTCCAACGAGGTCCACCTGGGCAGCTGGATGCATGCCAAGAACTACCGAGACATCGCGGAGCCTTTGGTGGCGCACGTCACGGAGCCGGGCAGAGGGCCTAGGGCATGGGGAGGTGAGACGTCTCAGATAGCGAATCCATCAGATCTGACCATTTGGTCCATGTTGTTCCTTCGGTGTAAAGCGCGGATATCGTTCAATCTGGTCCAGCTCCCTTGTCTTATAGCCAGTTTCCCCTTTTGGAATCTTCATAGTCATATTCCCCTTCCAATGTCATTTTCTTTGGAAGTGAGAGAATCATGCAGAGCTGGAAGGAGTATCCTTTTGCTGGGACTTGTGGCAATGCTTGTAAATGAAGCTATGATGTTTTGCCGGCTGTGGACTTGTTTGAACAGGCAGGCGTGGTGTGAATGTCCACAGCACATAGTGTAGAATACTTTGCGAACGCTGAAATTCAGTCATGGTTGGTGATTGGTGGCACACCTGCGATGGGCCCAAAAGGCAAGCAACTGAAGCTTCGTTCAAACACACCCTGATCTAATGTTTGCGGTGGGGTCGACTGAGAATACATGTTACACATTAATTTTCACCTGTTCCCAAAAAGCGCGGAGCCATGTTTTGGTGTGTTTAATTGGGGGGCCCATCTGGAGATACCCCTTGGGCCGGGTAAAGCTTTCGGGCGGGTCCGGCATGCAGGAGATGGGCTTTACCGCGGTGGAGTTCCTGCCAGTTTCTCAGCGCCTCGGGTTCAGTTCAGTCCGCGCGCTGATGTGTCTGAACGAAGGGTTTTCCAAGAAACCCTGGGCATGATTTGAATTGGGGACCCTTTGGTGGACAACATGTAGGTGGGGATGTCCACCAACCACAAATGAGGTGGTTCCCTGTTCAAAAAGAAAAAGAAAAAAATGGCCACCAAGAAGAGCAGGGTGCTGCATGGTGGTGTTCTGCATTGTTCTACCTTTGGGACGGGTTGCAACTGGGTTTCCCTTTTGTGGTTGGCTGCGGCAAGTGATGGCTGTTTGCAAATTTACCAAGGAGCAGCCAAGGAGCGCAAGGAGGAAGACAATTTTAGTTTCACAAGTAAATACCAAGTTCAGACTTTTTGTGGCCAATGCAGTTTGGAGGTGAGTTGATATGTTTCACTGGTGGGATCTTCAGCTGCTTGTTCCCATTCAAGTCATGCTTTTGTGAAGTCATTCCTAGGCACGCCTTCGCGAATTGAAGCGGCTTTTCGATTGCACCGTCGCTTTTTGAACCTTCAACCAACAGACTTGTCCTGGCTTCACTCAGTGCGTGAGTTTCCCACTGAAGCGTCTACGACAGGGGGCCTCTCGATTTGTCCAATTTATGAATCTTCAAAAGTGGCAGTTTCGTTGGAACTTGCCAGCCAGTCGCAACTTCTGATTTGGAAACCACTGAAAACTGAAAACTGCCAGGGGAGGGAGACCTTTGGTCTCATCCATTTAGGGATTCGAATGACCCTCCCCACCCACTCATGTATAGGTCCACATTCCCCTTGTGGTTAAATGGAAAGGTATGCGCAACCAGGGCGGGCCCTCATAATTTCCAGTTGGGGGCAGGCATGATTGGCGACTGGACACCGGAGACAAACCAATCCGCTCCATTCAGGGAGGGAGTGACTGGCACGGTGCCAGGTATCCGTGTGACAAGTCTTGGGGTTACCAATGCGCTGCGGGCCTCTATGCCGTGGACCGTCGCCTTGGCTCTGCGGACGACTTTCGTTTCCTCGCCCCTCGGACAGGTTTCGGATGGAATGGGTGTGTGCTGTTTTGAGGGCGAACTTTTTGCACTTTGGTTCAAAGGCGAAGTCATGGAAAATCACTAGTTTTGGGGGTTTTGGAAAAGCAGACCCGCGTCGCAGATGGCCTTCGTCAAGACCAGTGTGCCATCGAGACATGTCGGGATACAGTTTCCAGCCACAGGTTTTGGTTCAACATAGATTGACCACACGCTTTTGCTGGTGAATTCTCAGGAACACCATTTGCAGTCATGCTGGTTCTTATCCTTCGCATTTGCTCTTGTGGCGTGACCTCTACAAATTCAGAGGTTGACCTTTCGGTTTCCCAGCATTTGATTGCCGGGTCTATGTGCGGACCCGCCGCCATCCGATTGAGTGCGGTTCACCTTTAGTGCACAGCCTTGGCAGCAGGCAGCAAGCCTTATGTTTGGGCAGCGTTTGTTCGGTGAGAGGATGTTGTCACTGTGTGACGTGGCTCACTCCCTGACTTCCTGGACTTCACACTTTTTGGGAGGTCAAGTTTATTGGCATATACACACACAAAGCTCACTTTTGCTGGCCGAGCCACTCGGGAAGATCAGCGTTTGTGTTGCTTGTGGAGTCCACTGGACCCTGGCACGCTGGTCCCTGTGACACGAAACTTAGCTTTCATCTTCTTCGAGGTCAAGGGTGTCCAAAGACTCGGGCTTGCTTTTGAACACACCAATGAGTTTCGTTTTTGTTGTTTCAGTGAGTGTGGAAAGGGGAGCGTGATTTCCCCAATACACACACTCTCCCCCCAAACATATTCCATCATATTCCCTTGTACGTTTCAGGAAGGTTCCACTGAGATATTGTGTATGTGAACGCATCTTATTTTGGTATCACCGCCAGCTGTTGTGCCGGTGGTGTTTTGCAACACCGGTGTTCCGGTGTTGCCCATTTTATGTCCTGGTGTGTCCTAGTTGTGTTCCAGTAGTGTCCCAGTGGCTCCGGTGGTGTCTGGCTGATGACCCGGTGGCTTGCTATGATGCCAGGCAGCCAAGGCTGGAAACGGGGCTCTAATTCCCCTTAAACATCGCATCGCTCAAGGGAAACTTTAGGTTGGCCTACCATGCGATGTTTAGCAACATCACGCAAAGAGGACATCTAGGGACCCCAGTGAAGTCTTTGCAGTTCCGATGCCCCGGCTTATCCCTGTGGTTTCCGTGTTTTTTGGCTGTTTTTTTTGGGGGGTAATTGAGGTGGACACCCTGCACAACCACGGCATCGCGGTGTTCATGGACTTCGTAGGGGCCCACTTCGCCAATGACGAGCGGCTTCGCCGCGCTTTCTTTGGGGAAGGGGTCCGCGCAATTTTTGTTGCCGACGTGGTGGGGCGGGGTCAAGAGTTTGGGGCATGTCTTACGTCTTTGGCTTAATTTTGGCTTAAAAGCTGAACGAGACAATGTTTAGATTGTAAGTTTAGGGTTGAACGTTGACCAGTGGACAAAGAAAGGCTACTTGAAATGGTCGAGGGAGCTGGGGAGAGCAGTTGAAGCAGTTTTCTTCCCAAAGAATGTGGGAGCTTGCAGCCTCAACAAATCCCAGCCCTCGGTACTTGCCGGGTGTGCTTGATATTTTAGGGTGTGACCGGGTGCGGTGACAAACCCTCAGTTTCAGGGTCACCCCACTTTAGGTGAAGAAATCAGTGGAAAGCCCTTCCTTGGGAGTATCGAAAGGTGTCCTTCACCACAATTTCCTACCTCCCCTTGACCTGGGACCTGAAAAGCCAATCCGTCAACGCGAAGGATGCTTCGCTTGGGTGCCTTGTTGAGGCTTCGTCTTCATCTTGAGAGTACGGGTTCCATGTAGCTCGTCAGGCAGCAGTAATGGCAACCTATGGGTCTTCACTTTTTCTCTGCCAGTCCGCCTTTCCTACATGCCTTTGGGCATCTTGCGTGGGATTGTTTCGTTGTCCCTGGGGCAAACTGGGCCATCAGAATTACAACACCCACAACACCCCTGAAAGTGAGGCCACAGTGAGGCAGTACTGACGGTGGATGGGCACCCGGCGTCTCCCTTCCTCCATGATTCGCCCCATCTACACCAAGGAAAGGAAAATATGACCCCCGAAGGCCAATTGAGCCGGGTCAGAGAATGCCAGGGAGCCGCTTTTGCGATTCTTCACGCGGCTTTGGGTAGATTGCTTGACTACCGGGTTTCTCGTTATGCTCAAATGGATGTTTTCGTTTGGAGGGAGCTCTGCCTTTGGTTGTCATCCCCAGCCCCAATTGATGCATTTGGATGGGTGGATAGGTCCGTTCCTTCGAGGTGGGGCTTGGCGGAGTACAGTGGTGTGCCGCAGTACGAGTACGAAGGCCGCGTTTCGTTTCCGAACCGAGCGCTTGGAACAAACGTCAGACTTTCTCTTTTCTGCGCCCAGCCAACCAAAGGGTCAAATGACTTTGTTCGTTGCCGGTCGAGGAATGTATGTTGACAAAAGGAAGTTGGTAGTTGCAAAGAGCAAAACACAAATGGACACGGGGGGAGAATGAGTTGATACATGTTGAAGTTGTTTGCTGACTGTGCGCTATTTGCAAGCACGAAGCTTACATACATAGTCATGGGGGGCGTTGGCTGCCAGTTGTTTTCACATTTTTCTGAACAAGCAGAGGTAGCACTACAGGGTGCTAAACGCCCCATATGACCTGGGCCTTTTTGCATTGTGTTTCTTGAACGAACCCAGTTGCATTGTCATGTTGTCGTTTTTTTCGGAGCCCCTACTTACAACCCAGACTGGCAATCGAACAACATCTAGAAAGGGTCCTAGTGAAATTCACACGCATGCCGATGCCAGGTTCATATGTAAAGTGACATGCAGCATTGCTGTTAAGCCTTGCATAATTATGCTGGATGTGCCCCAACTCTGAAACCAGGGCGAGGTTGGGAGTGCCTCACATATGGGCCAGTCAATCCCCGCGGTGTCGATACCTTCACTGAGCTGTTGCATCGATGCGCCGCTTCGTGGCCCCGGCCCGCCCTGAAGGAAGCTTGGGGCAAATCCCTGGATGGGGCACGGCGCGCTTCAACTATGCGAAGCCGGAAGTGCAGGCATACTTGCTCGGTGCCTTGCCTTAGTTGGACGTCCAAAGGCAGCTCAGACATCATTTCTGGGTCTCTCCTTCAAAACTATTTGCACTTTCAGGTAGGGTAAATAGGAAGCATAATCTGGCATATTATTTGTGTAGTACCCCAGCTGTGGGCCAAGATCCGCCCCTCACGATCTGGCACGTTGATACCCTGACGAGCGGCCAAGAGGAGGGTCAACTTGTTTCTTGTGAAGAAGCCTTTGGTGCTTTGGTATGCCCTGTTTACGTCACAGCAATGCGAATCGTTCCAATCTTCAGCTGCCTGTCACGCTGCGCAAAGGTTAAGGTTTGTAGCTAATTGCCAGGAATCCAGCTATTGGCTGTGCACATCCACAGGCAAGAGTGCTGATTAAGTGTTCCTGCAGGTTTGCTGCCTGCTGTTCCAGACTGGGCATGGGACTCGGTATGAAATGCATGTTTATCGAGGAAAGCCTTTTCTAAGTTTGCCGTAAAGGAAATTAAAGCGACACAGGACAAGCCCACATCAAAGCGACTAGAGCGAATCCAGCCTGTTTGTGGCTCCACTGTCGGGCACAGAATGTCCTTCTGCACATGTTGGTAGCAGATTTCCTCGAGAACCCATGTTGGGCGCACCCCCGTTTGCCAATAGGACAGCTATAGCATAGTGAAAGGAAACTGCTTTTGTTTTAATCCGAGTGCTGGAGAGCCAGGATTGTTGAGGGGGGTTGTTTTGCCGGGTGGGGGGGTTGGGGGGGTGGGGGGGTTGGGGGGGTGGGGGGGTGGGGGGGTTGGGGGGGTGGGGGGGTGGGGGGGTTGGGTTGGCCTTGAAGTGGTATACCCCTTTTGAGCGAGCCAAACCTTGATGTTTTATGCACCATGGCATGGGGACTTTGATGGTTCCGGGTAGCCTAGCTGTTTTCCTTGTTTGGGAAAAGATTCCCCTGAGACTATGAGGGGTGTTTATATGGTCAACATTATGTTCATATGCCCATTCATACGTGCAGATGGAGATGGAGGTATTTCATATATAGCCGCTATGCATTTGTCTTCTCCACCTGGTGTGTGTGTGTGACACATGCTACATTGCCAGTGGTATGTGCAAGTTATGCTCAAACAACTGAAGAACCTACATATCGAATGCGCGTTTGTCTCAATCGACCCTAAATCCTTAGCCGGGAGTTCAAGAGGACATCCAACTGCCTGACAAAAGCATCCCCTACAATGCAAGGCTGTGGCCCAAACATGTGGATGGGCGAAATGCGTTCGCACCACTGTTTACAGGGGAATCATCATTCAAGGTTAGGTGGTGCATCCCCAGTTCCCCTCCCCCCCCAACTCCCAGTTTGCAGCCCGCCACGAAATAGCGGAACGCTGGCTTCTCCGGAGGCGCCGCACACCATTGGATTGACCAGTTCCACGTTGACGGGCTACGGATTGATGCGGTCGCGGCCATCATCTACGGGAACTTTGGGCGGGAAGAGGATGGCGATGAGATCATGGCTGGCAAGGCGTCGTTTTTGTCACCTTGTTTTACCTTTTTGCACGGTGCCCCACCCAAAAATCAATCAACCTTGAATGGTGTCATTCTTCTTCCAGGGTAGAGCAACTGGGGCTTTGTTGCAAGACATGGCTGGCCCTTGGAGGATCCTTAGCCTCAGATCTTTTGGACACTGGTGCATTCGCCCTTCCACCTCCCTTTAGTTTGGCTGGGCTAGGCACACTGAGAATGGCTTAAACGTGACACGTTCCAACTTGTGCCCCATCAACGAAGGGTCTGCCTTGCTTGCCCCTCCGCACTTCCCCCAAGAACTCATGCCTCTTGTCACATATTGCGCTGGCCCTTTCGCATGTGTTCATGTCGAAACCGCGCGCGCTGTCGAGTTAGCTTGCCTTGTGACCCGGGCGTGGCTCAAAATTAAAGACCTAGGGTTGCGGTTTTAGTGTTAGCTTCCACTTAGCAAAGGTGCCATTGTACATGTTTTGGAGCCTCAGCCACCTGGCGCATTCGCCCGCGCCCGCGATCGCCGGCGCCAGGGCAAGCTGAACGAGCACGGGGTGGCGCTGCTGAAGCGCCTCTGCGTGGAGGTCAGGAGTCGGCACCCGGGGGTGCTGCTCTCTGCGGAGGAGTCCACAAACTTCCGCTGGGCCCTTCGGCTGGCCGGGGAAGGTGGGGGGTTGGGTGGTGGGAGAGGTGGCCCTGGATTTCTGTGGGCGATTGAAGAATGCTGTGGGTGGATTTCTATGCCCGTGTTGGGTCAATCACCCAGTTGTTGAGTGGGTTTCACCATACTCCCCGAATTTCGTAAGTTCGAGACCCACTGAAATGGATCGTCACTGGTTGGTTGCTGGGCCACTGGGAGTGGGTGAGATTTTTTTTGTCGGAGAATTGTTGGACCTGCTGTAATGTGACCCCCCCCTCAACAGTGGAACCAGTCTTCTGGACCCTGTTTAGGGAAGATCCTTAGGGTCTGGGAGGGACAGTACTTACTTAGTATTGCCAATTCTTCTTTTAGTATTGCCAAGGCTGACTCTCAGATTCCCAGTGCTTACTTTAGCATAGCCCCTTCTACTTTAGTATTGCCAAGGCCCGTTTTCCAGCAACCCCCAAAAAAGGTTGCACACTAAAGTGCACCCCATAAACAGTCACATTAAAGAGGATCAGGGCCTTTTGTGGGCACCCCCCTTTGTGACTTACTTTTTTGCAAACAAGTTATCTTACAATTGATGGATTGCGGACCACTGGCAAGATGGATTTCCTTGAACCCCCAAAATAGTTGGACACTAAAGAGGACCCCAAAACAGTCACAGTAAAGAGGATCGGGGCCTCTTGTGGGCACCCCCCTTTGTGTGAATGTTTGACTTACTGTTTGTAGAGAAGTTATCTTACATCTGATGGTTTGGGAACCGTTTCACAAAAGGAATTCCTAATGAATGCCCGGATTTGTAGACTTCTTTGGATAGTTGTTTCTGCTCCGGATTTTTCCCGGCATTTCTTGTTTGGTTAACACTTGCCACAATAGAGGACCCCAAGACAGTCCAACGATCCTAAATCAGGAAACGCATGCACAATACAAATACAGGCTACTGCCATTAAAGCGTGTCCAACACAACTCGGTCTGGAAAAAGCAAGCATCCAAAGGAATGGCGGGATGGGACATTGGCTTGTGTGCGTGTTTGGTTGTGTGTTCCGGTTGAAAAGCAACCCTCAGCGGAAACTGCCTGGCAAAGGAAGCATGGGGGCGTTGGCCTCCTGGGTACACTTTTCGAATTGGCCGTGAAAATTGTGTGTGTGTGTGTCCATTTGTGGGAGGAGTACCCTGTTTGAAAGCAAGGTTGTTCTTGTTTTTTGGGAGCTTCCTCTTGGCTGAGGAACAAAAGCAAGCCGAGGGCTTTGTGGGGGGCGAATTCAGAAGCCAACGGAAACTGTTAGAGCCCGAAGAAAGCTTCAAACATTCTCTAAGCCGGGGGTCCCGCACGAGGCTCCGCTGCCAAACTCACTGGCCAGCAAATCAGCAACTGGGTTCGGCCTTTTCTTGGCCGCAGGAACCCATACCAAAATCGACAACTGGGCTAGGTTCCCCTTTAATCGTTTTTTCAGTGCTTCGCGAATGCTCCTCTAGTGCTCCGCCAGTGCTCCTCTAGCGCTCCTCCATTGCTCCTCTGGTGCTCCTCCAGTTTTCAACTGGCCTTGCGTGGCTGTTTGGCTTGAGTGGCCTTGTGTGGCCTTGTCTGGTTGACTGGTTTGAGGTTTGGGTGGCCTTCAGTGGCTCTGAGTTGCGTTTTCAGAATGAGCCAGGATGCATCAGGATGCGACGCAGTCCTGATTTAGCTTCCATGTCCGCTGAGGTGACGGACCGTCAAGTCGAGAACGGCACAGAGCGACAGCGTGCAGCCCGTCAAAGGTGTTGGATAGTTGTGGCGCAGGGCGGTCGCATGCTTTGGTGGCAGTTGAGGTACGAGAAGCAAGCAAAGAGTGCCCCAGACCCTCTTTTTCGTTCTTTTTGCGTGGGCTTCTGTTCAAAATCAGCCAAGCAAAAAGACATACCCCTCTTTCCCACAATCATGCACGTGGACTGGGGGCTTGCCCAAAAGTTCAATAGAAAGCTCTAAAACCCTCCTGCCAGCTTCTATGATTGGAGCCAAGCCAGTTGGTCACTGGATTCCAGGCTCCTTTTCAGTCCCCTTTCGTTCGGTGGGCTTGGGACCCGACTGAAATTGACCTTCAAAAGGGCTGACCTCATTCTACAAATTTCGCTCTCAGTTTCGGCCAAAGGATCCATTCCAAGCGAACGCTGTGTACCATGATGCAGATGTGTCCTTGCCTGCTTTGTTTCTAACACGGTGAGATGATGTATATTTCATTCCTTGGTTTGCTGCACATGCTGAATAAGGGCTAAGCTGAAGGTCGTGTATTTTCCTGTCCCTGGTGGGTACATAGCCTTCGATTCTTCAAGGGATGCTGGGTCTAGAGTCTAGAGGCTTTATCCACCCCGCTTTGAAAGCGCACATTGCGCTGTCTGCATCGTTGGAACACGAGAGACGTCCTGTCTTTTGGTTCATCTACCGCATATTTTGATTAGGTCGTATTGTGTCTGTTCTACGTAGTCTTTGCTTGCTTTCCTGGTTGGTCTTATTGGCGGCTTGCCTTTGCAGTAGGTTGGTTTTGCTGTGTTGTTTGTTCCTTTCTTTTGTCAACCGCTGCTTCAAACATTTATCTCTGTGTTTGCTTGCGCGGGTTTGGCATGTGTGCTTCTGGCTTCGGGCACCCCTCACTGTTTGGGGATTAAATAAGTTGGGGTACGTCCTTATATTTAGTTCCCTTCGTGTTAATGATCAGCTGTTGGCAAGGCTAGTTTGAAGCGTGTTTCGAGGGGACAATCATAAGGAGTCTTGTAGTTTGAGTGCTCTTTCCTTTTTCAAAGCCAACCCATTTGACCGTCCGTTGCCGAGGAAGACATCCGGGATTTGGGCTTCCACCTGAAATGGAACATGGGCTTCGCCCATGACACTTTGCCCTTCAGCGGGCAGTTTGGAGGGTATGCCGCCAGGAGAACAGCAGGGTTCATTCCAGCTGCCTTTTCAACATGACCCCACCATGCCAAACAAACAAATACAAACAACAACCAAACCTAAGGCGACGTTGAAGCCAACAAGGACTGCAAAAGACTTGCGTCCGACTGTCCACCGTGGCTGCGGCAAACCGACATGGGACATCTACGTCTATATATGTGTGCGTATGGAGTTTTGTTTGGTTTGGATTCACCCCGCCCTTGTGCCACAAATAATCCTGACCATTGGAGTACCCCTTTCGGTGCTTTGCATTTACATGTGTTGTTTAATTATATATCGTTTTCTCTTCTTTTTTTTCCGGCAGCCCTGCGACTTTGATTTGCTAGGCCAATCTGGGCTGAACCTTTTAGCTATACCTCCCAACCATTTCCATGGATCATTTTCAGAATCCGAGAAACCAGAAGCTTGGTGAGATTTCAATAAGAGTGAGGTTTGAAAGAATGGGGCTTGTTAGCGTTTAGGTGCGTGTGTTTCAGGGGACTCAACGGATTGTGTTGCATGACGAGAATCTCCGGGATTCATCGGTTCCTTGCAGGGGCAACAACATCACTTCCAAGAGCTTCTCTTGGAACCACATCCGCGAGCGCTTGTGTATGTTTCACAAAGCAGGATATGTACCCTTGGCTGAGTGTTTCTGCATGTGCATGTCACTGCCCAAGCATGCAGGCCCAATGCTTTGAGCAGGGTCCCAAATGATGCATGGGACCAGATACTAGTACAAAAGCTGATTTCGAATATCCGAATCCTCGTAAAGCAAGCATCCCCCTTTTTCCAGCAGCTTGTTACTTGTATGTATCCTTGCCCCTGTCGTTTGTTCGATCGAAAAGAGAGATCGAGGTCCATGTTCAGCTCCAAGTTCCGGGAGAGGCCCCAGCTGGAGACCTTCGGCTGGCGGAAGCTGGCTTGGACCCTTGGCTTGATCCCTCCAAACGCGTCAGGTGTGAAATAATTGGAGGGCCTGAACACCTGAACAAAGTCTCATCCCATTTGCCTTCCTTTTGGGAACTTGAACAGATGGTTGCTTTTGACCGTACCCAGCCCATCTCGTCTCAACCAGTGACCCGAAAAGTAGAGCAAGAATCTGAAATATCCCTTTGGTTGTTTCGGCCGCCACCGGGCCAGTCCGAACGGCAGGCATTCACGTCAATGGCGCCAGCCCGGGATAAAATAACGTGTGAGAAGAATCGCGCCCCCAAGTCGCTTCTCCTACATCTCCCTCATTCAAACCCACCGAACAGGAAGAGCAAAATCCTTTTTGTTGGATTGGCACTAGCGGTCGAAAACCAAACCGGACTCTGAACAAATGAATTTGGGAAAGATCAAGAACAAGGAGTCCCGCCATGTCGACTACCCTCGATACTTCAACCGGTTGTGGGCGTTCGATTTTTGAGGGTATTTATTTTCAGGTTGTGGGAACCGAGATCACTGCAGTATATCTTGCGGTTGAATCGATTAGCCCCCCGCAGAGGAACACCAGGTTGATTAATCCAGGGCCACACGATCGGGAAGCTTGTAGAGATTTGGGTTTCACTCGATTCTTTATTCCGCACGCTAAGCGGAAACAAACATAGTGGACGGCTCGCGTGGAAGCCCCTGTTGCCAAGGTTCCTCTGCTACGCCTTCAACGAAAGGCGCGGGTGGGTGCAAGCACGAGCTGCGCCAATCCAATGCCTTTTCTCCGGCGAAATTCTCATGACCGACTTTCTGGCCCCCGCAGAAGGAACGCGATGTAACCAGTTGTTGTTGTTTTGGTTGGACTCCGTTTTGAGTGCCAGTGGTCCCGTCCCCAGGTGGATCCTCCCTTTCTCCCACGACAACGTTCAGAAGAAGAGCCTGGTTGACCAAATGGCAGCGGATAAGGTGCTGGGCACTGAGGGCAAGTACGCCCAGCTGCGAGTGCTGTTCATGTGCCTTGCCAAAAAGCAGGGCTGCTTGTGTAGTTTGGATTGTGGCCTGGGGATCCTAGAATTGCCCCAAAGGGTTTGTCCGCGGAAGCTCGCGGAAGGGTTTACTGGACACTGCAGCTCTTTCGCCAGGCAGCTTGTGCCAACGCTCAAGCAGCGTTGAATGAAGAGACTGAGACGCATGCTGAAGGCTGGAGGGAACCCAGAAGCAGAATCCCAAACGTGAATGTTCGCGGGCGCTTTGCGGAAGGGGCGCGGAAGGAAACCAGCCGTTTCCCAACATGCCCCCTCGTCGCTCCTCAACCTCCTTGGAGGGAAGCCCAAACGCTTTCGATTGGCTCCGGATTTGCGCAGCTGCTTAGACTGCTCGCTTGGCGTAGAGAATGCTCATCAGCGAGCAAGACTTACCAGCGGCAACAACCGCAGCAGCAGACAGCTCGAAAGCCAGTCTACGACTCTGGTCGTTGAAGCACACTGCCTCTAAATGCTGCAAACTTGTTTGCTGAAGCTCGTTTCCGCGAGTTTTCCGCCAAAGAAGCTGCTGTACGCCGCTGAAGCGCCGGTTGGCGGAACGACTGTAAAGCAACACCACTCATCTTGGCTTGACAAAGGCCGCCAACACCTGAGGCTGGCTAGGGTCCTGATATGCCCCGTTTTGGAAGGGTGAAACATTGCAGCGTCATGGCGTCATGACCGCCAAACAAAGTTCCTTACGTTTCAAAGATGAGTGGAAACCATTCCACAAGAAAGCATATGTACATTTGTTATTGCTCAATGATCCTTTGGCCCGTACCATTGTGGCTCCGCAACATACCACAGAGGTACATGTAAAGATATGCAGCCGTATTTGCTCACGTGGATGCAAGGGGTACTGAAGGAAAGCACGCGGATGGGCCCTATAGACATTCTCCGTGTCCAGTAATCTCTTGAAATTCTTGCCAGGCACAAGCCCCTTTTCCATAAGCAGAGTCGTTTTTGAGACAGGACCCCCTGCAAGCCTTTGGTCTGGAAATGGGAACAGCTTGAACTCTGCACCAGATCAGCGGTTGAACCTTGATCTTGGCCTACAGAGATTAGTATAGCCTGGGGGAAAACGTCTTCTGTTGCGATGCCCTTTGGCAGGCCGGGCATCATTGTCTTTCCCGCTCACAGATTGCCGCATGTACTGTAAGTGGTTCGCCCACTATATGGCATGAAGTCAGAGGTTGGATGGAAGACTGGGCTGAGGTACACCATTGGCATGCTCGGCCGGCCGCTGCTGTTCATGGGCTCTGAGATCGGCGCCTCGGCAGCTTCACACCGCAGTGCGGTGTGCATCTTCGGAGGGGGGATGCGGGTTGGGATCCGCCCTGCAAAACCTCTCCTAGACAGATACGTAGACATACACGATGCATATATATATATAGTTGATATGCATGAGAGCATTTTGTGGGGACGGGGCTGGGCTGTGGCAGTGAAAGTCAACCAAACTTGAAATAGGGTGTGGTTCTCTGCGCAATCGCCCATGCCATGCTGAGGTAAGGAAAAACGGAGTGAACTTACGAGGGCAAGTCTGATAATTATGCCTATGATGGAATAACATATTGATAACTTATGGATGCAGCCGTTGCAGCAGCAACAGACATCCGAAGTAGGACCAAAGACACACCTATGCCTTTCATGGGGAAGCTATTTTTACACACCAAGACCTGTTCAAAATTTAAGCATGAGCCATACCCTGTTTGAGAGTGTTCAACAGTTGGCGTGCGCGGGAGAGCTTGGGCAACCAGTTTTCTTGACGCTTGAGGGAAAGCAAATCTGGAGCAATGTGTCAGCACAAGTTTTTGCAGACACATTTTTGTTCCAAGACATCCCTTTGTTTTGGTTGATTTTTAATAAATTAAGGTTACATACTCTTTAGCCTACGTTCAACCTAAAGGGGGCTGTCTCTGCACAGAGGGAACCCGCAAAGCGGGCGGCATAGCAACCCTCAAAGAGCGTACCATCCACAAAAAGTCCCCCCACCCCCCAAAGAGGCGAGCAGACTGCCAAATTGCAACTGGCTAGCTACTCATCCGAGAAAATGAAAGTGTAGGCCCCTCAAGGTACAGCAGCTTGAGGACATTGTCATGCTTGATGCCCACCATGCTGGCGCTAGTTTGATTTTCTGTATACCTGCAATTTCCGATCTAACTTGAGTGGCTGATGCATTGCCGTGCTTGGCAGGCATGGGTTCCTTGCAAGATTCTGTGATGGCCTAGCCTGCCCTTCTCGATTACGCTGGTCAACTTTGATTTGATGACATCCGGTGATCCTTTTTTAATCCACGCGCACCTGGGTTTATGTGGTGCTTGCAAGCTACCTGAGTGTCAAGGACCCTTCGCTGAAAAGCCCAGGGCCAGTTGAAGAGGGCCTTAGGTTAATGTCAACTTCCTGAGTAGTCTGGAGGACCATGCCATAATTGGAGATGTTATCTTTGTAGAGTGGGTGAAATCACTTTGGGATTCCTTGCTCGAATCACGCTGGACACAAACGAAAAGCCCTGTGAACATTGAAGAGAGCGAAAGCCAACAGAGCAACATTTGGCTGGCAAAATTATTTTACACTGACCTTTTGGGGGTTTGGTGGCTTCGGTCGACCTTTCATTCCAGCTCTCGGTGTGAGGCAAAGCACGTTGCTTTTAGACAGGTGAGTCCTGGTCGTATGACGAGCCCATCGACTGGGAGGGCGCCAGCGAGGACCCGCAGAAGCAGCAGCGCCTTGGACGGAACTCAGCCGGAGTCAGCCAAAAGGGAACTGTCAACCCCTGGGATTTTGTTGGGGTCCCTGTTGAGAGGCAAACCTTAACTATTGGGGGGATACCTCACCCGTAAATCCGCCAGGTCGATTCATCCCGACTCAATGTGTATATAATATTATATATCTATATGTATAATATATATATATATATGTATATATGTCTTGATTTATTGATTTATGTTTTTATATTACACACGTAGCCATATCTAGCATCTATATGTCTGTATTTGTATCTAACATCTCTATTATCTCTGCATATGTAATATATGTAGGTACATATTATCTGTGTCTATCTCTCCCTCCCTTTCTCTCTCTCTCTCTCTCTATCTTCCTCGTTGCGCTGCCTCTCTCTCTCTCTCTCTGTCTCTCTCTCGCTCTCTCTCTCTCTCTCTCGCTCTCTCTCTCTCTCTCTCTCTCTCTCTCTCCATGCTATATATATATATGTGTGTGTGTCTGTGTCTGTGCCTGTGTCTGTGCCTGTGTCTGTGTCTGTGTCTGTGTCTGTGTCTGTGTCTGTGTCTGTGCGTGCGTGTGTGCGTGTGTTTGTTTTGAGGCATAGATACCCTTTATATATAGCTATATATACATATGTATTTAGATTGTTGTGTGGGTTTGCAAATCTGGGGCATCTTGTGGCATGACCCCAATGGCGAAGAATCCGCTCCAAAATGGGACACCCTCTCATCTCAACTCAACTAGGTATTGTCTTAGTCAGGTGTCGAACTAGTCCCTGGATTTCTTTCTCTTCCAGTCGGAAGCCTGCCCAGGCTGAAGCGGTGGATCGCGAAGCTGCTGAAGCGCCTCGGAAGAGGGGCTTCACTCGCCGAAGCGAGCCCACCACGGCCATAGCGGCAAAGGCGTTTGGGCGGTGGCCAATCCACTGAACAGACTTCGGGTGCCCCTCAAGCGTTCCCCATCAGGGAACTGTCCTGTTCGCTTGGATTGTTGCAGCAGGGGGTTCCACACCGGTCCTGTCCATGCTGGATTGGTTTCCCACCTGTTGCTTACACTTTGCCCACGGCTGTTTTGACTTGGCATTTCCACCACCTGCCGTTCCATCTTGCCCGACGCATGCTTTCTGTTTGGTTCGACGCTGCTGGTTCACAAGCCTTGGGTGAGAAGGCAGCGTTCGCACTTCTGGCTAGAGCTTTCGGCCCGCCCTCTCTCAAGTCACTAGAATCTGAGGACCACCCCAATGAGAGGGACTCCCTCAAGAGTTGAATCCCCCAACCAAACGAATCATGAGCAACAGCTTGGACTTTATTGGCCAGATGAAGTGGGAATCGCCAGAGTTTCCTAGATTCTCAGTTTCCTGGTGACCAAACCAAAACACGGCAATTACCAGGGTCCTTTAAGGAATACGTTTGGCAACGCTGTTTCCAGCTGATTTGGACTAGAGGACCTTTTCTGTAAAAAGCAACAACATGTTGTTTTTTCTTTGGCATGTCTCCTTTGCTTGCTGCAAGCGTGGCAGTGATGAATTTCAACGGTTGGGACCGGAGGCCTTTGGGCGCCCTTGGTGCCCCGCCTCAGCCTCGCGCTCCGAGGCTGTACCGTGAACTGCCATGCCTGCACCGCCAAGATGACCGTGCGGATGGCTTTCATTGGCTGGCGCCATGTGCTGACAGGGGGGAAGATGTCTCTTTAGGCGCCCAAACAGATGCATATTTTATGTTCCTATACTTGTTTTTAGTACCCCACGAGCCCATTGTGATTATTGATGAGGAGAGCTGAATGCAGGGCCCATCAGCTACAGCGCAGAATGGAGAATGAAGACATGGGACAGGATATTTAATGAACATATACCGTATTAACAAGAAATATTTGAAGGTAATAACACAGTTCTAGACATAAGACTCATCATTTGGAGCGGGCGATAGGTGAGTTGAACCATTCAAGACTTTCTATTCCTGACGTCATAGCGGCTTAACGTTGAACAAATTAATAGTATGATAACAATTCCAGGGTCCAGAGTTAAATGGTGGGCGAATGGAACCTGCATTCATACAGGTTTAAACTCGCAAACCAGGTGCAGCCACAGGTTGACACATTCCCGGGCGACAAGGCGGGGAAGCTGTCTCCATTCTCATTTGATGGCCCGATGGATGATTTTAAGTGCAGTCTTTCCCATCCCGCTTGGATGGGTGCTGGGAGAACAACAAAAACCCATTGGTCCGTATTTCTTGATCCAAGGAAGCAACATAGCTTATTTTTGCACTGTGTCAAACACGCAGTCTTCCCAGGTTCCTCCAATCAGCAGGTGTTGTTCGGAGGTAAGCAAGGGGAATGCAGCAGTAGCAAGTCCTGTTTGATAAATGGAGGGGATGTCCTCGGCGGGCTTCAGTTAGAGCACCGGAGCAGAGTGCTCTCCAAGTTCCTGGACTTCCTGTACTTTTTGGGAAGAAGTTTGGCGGCCAGGGAAAAGTTTGGGCTTTTTTGGCCAATCCACTCAGGGAGAGAGGGGACCTCTCCCCCTGCATCTTCTGAAGCCGGCTTCCCCGCGGGAGAACGGGGACCGTGAGGGCTTTGTTTGTTTATCCAACCCGGCTGCTGGCCGAACCGGGTGCTCCGCAAACTGCATGGTTTCTTGGACTGCCAGTGGATCACCAAAGGGCGGTGGGCAAAATATGTTCGAGATTGGTGTGTGCTTTCCCCGCGCGGCGGTTCTCCCCGAGGACAAGGACGAGGGGAGTAAGTGCGTCTACTGCTGGAAGCGGATGGCCAAGAACGAGCATGAGGCTGGCGGGGCGGGGGTTGCACCACAGTCTTTTCGGAGCCCTTTTTCGAGCCCTTAAGAAGGATTTGCGAGCCTTTCCCGGGGAATCAGGCGTGTTGCATTTGAAAGGGGTCTGTTTGTTACAAGTTTTCATGGGGGACCAGGGTTTCTAGAATTCTATTTGAGTGGGGAAGACAGGACGGGTGGGGTTCGGCCTACCATGCCCTGCGGTTGTTTTCTCATGTCACCAGGCAGCAACGTCTTTGCCATCAACAGGGGTATGATCTTTTTAAGGTGTCCTTTGCGTGACGCCGCAGTGCGAAGCCAAAAGGACACCTTTGAAGGGGGTACCAGCATACGCATACGCAATGCAGCGGTTCCAAAGACCTGCACATTGAAATCGCCTTTGGGGCACTCGCTAGCTCGAGAGTGCGGAAATTGTGTAGCTGGTGTGTATTGTTTTGGTTTTGGTATTGCTGTTTCTCTTCGCCTCGCCACTTCTCTCGGGCACTTGGGTTGATTCCCTGCCGCGGTTCGTCCGCCATCTTTGGGACAGAGGATTTCCTCTCCGGAGTTCAAGCAAAGAAAAGCAAAGAAAAGCGTAGTCGGTGTGTGTGTGTGTGTGTGTCTTTGGCCTGAACTCGGGTGAAATTGTAGCATGTGTGTTTCAAACAGTTGTCATCAAGGAAAGGAGGCCTTGGCGACGGATGTTTGCTGCCTGGCTCTCTGAATTTTCAGTTCTTGTGGGTGCAGGCCATCATCATTGTGAATGCCTCGAATGAGCACATCACTCAATACCATGTGAACTGCGGCGAAAGCGTAGGAGCTTGGGAGTGCATAGCTGCAACTCGGCGCATCCAGCAAGCTGACTTTTTACAACCACCTGGGGGTTTCCCTCGGCACCGTTTTACTCAAGGTCCCAGAATGCTGGCCTGTTGTTCGAGGTTCTTTGGGGCCTTACGAGTTGCCTTCTTCGATTCTCTGGCAGCGTCGCGCCGGGTTCTTGTGTTGCACGCCAGTGAAATGTCTTTCTGCGGGCCGATGCGTTGCCATTGCTTCCTTTGTTTCCTTTCTCCACGTTCTTCGGAGCAAGGGCATGTCAAATGTCGGGATCCCATTGCTGAGACAAGAGGTCTGGTTGCTCAAGGAACAGCGGGCCATCCAAAACACCGGTGTCATTCTCGAAACCTGGCGTTTGCCCCAAAACCATGCAAACGAATCGAAGGGCAGCTGCACCTAATTATTTATGGTTACTTGATGGCACTGTCCCCTACCAAGTTTCCTCTTTCTGGGATATGATTGTAACTCAGAAAGAAACTCAATCGGCTTACTTGTCAGGAAGCAACCTCACAGGCCAACCTGTCAACCAATGTCAACCACGCGTAATGCCCACTTGTGATTAGCAAGTGCACCTGGAAGAAGAACAAATGGCTGGCCCGAGAGATGAATAGACGCAGCTGGCATAAAGGCAAGCCCAAAGAAAGTTCTTAAGCGAACAGGGAATGCGCCCAATACATGATGTCACGTTTTCTTACATGTCTCTTGTTAATAATTTGCCTGCAATCAGACCCAGTTTTGTTGCCCGCCCCCGCCCCTGTCAATTCCAAAAAGGAAGCCCCAGCAATACTATACTCAGGTCCACCAATGCTAGTTCAAATGGAAACACAAATTTAAAATCTCAAAAGGAAGCTCCAGCAGACATCAAGACAGGACATCAAGACATCAAACTAGATACCTCTGTTGGGGAGGGGGACCCTTTGCAAATCCCGAGTGGACATTACCCGCGGAATCCATCTGGAAACCCGGAAACCAATCCAACCATCCAACCAACCTGACCAAACCAACGAGAAATCTAGCTAAAGCAGAGGATCCAGTCTTTGGATTGAGGCGACCTCTATGGAGGCAGAATGCTTCACACCTCGCACGGAGCGGGTGACGCTTGGTCGAGGCCGCTTTACAACAGAGCTACCACCAGTCTCGGCGCAGCTATGGGTGCCGAGGGGTGGCAGGCTGGGATGCTGGAAGTGAGAACTTGGAGCAGCCTGCTGCTGCTTCTGCCACTGCCGCCGCTGTTGCTTTTGCTTTGGATGTTGCTTTTAACTTGTCTTGTTGCTTTCCTGTTGTTTTTGCTTGTGCTTGTTGTGATTTCGTTTCGAAACCATGGAAGCGGCACGAGCAGCAATGAGCTTAACTTCCCTGTGAACCTTCAGGAGTCACGTAGGCGTGCAAGGGTCACCAGTTTCACTGGAACATGTTGCTACGAGCCTTCGGTACGCCAGACTGGATCCGGTTCTCATTCACTTCGACGTGACGCACGAGGACACGCAGCATGGAGATTCCCTGCCGCTTGAACCTGGTAGTTCCCTTTTGCTTTGGGGGAGTGGGTGGGTCATTTCGAAACGTCAAGCCCAAAGCGATCGCCATGTTGTTGTTCCAGTGTCATTGGGCAACTGGGAAACAGCCTGAACTTGGCGCTCAATGAGCAGGCTTGTGCCGAGAGCGGCGTCTTATGGATTGGTAGGACAATGTCCTGGCTGTGTCATGAGAATTACTTTGATTGAAGTGTGCCCTGCCTTAAAATGTGCCGCAAGATTATACTATGGTACCATATGTTTTTCTTGGAGATGTCCAGGGTATAGCCAGGGAATGCACCATCTCAAGTATTGCGGGCAAAGCGTCTTGCTGAGGGCAGATGGTTCCTGTCAAACGTATTTGCAGGAGGGCTTGCACGAAGCATGGTGGTCATAGCGTCAGCTACTATGCATACAGCACTGCATTTGGGGATATGTTTTGTGTTTTGCATTGTGTTTCTGAAATGGAGCCCTCTCGAAGCCGCCCATTCCTTTTTCCTCTTGTTCCCCAAGCAGCGAAGCATTGGGGTTCTAACTTGAGGTATAGAGAATGGGAAAGTGTGACGCCGGTTCCGGGGTCCTGTTTTCCGCTTGTCTTCCTGTCTCCTCTCTCCGGTCAGAGGCCAGATGCTGTGACGCTGGCTCCAGGGTGTCTCCCGCTTGTCTCCCTGTGTCTCCCAGTCTCTGCGATCAGATGCCAGATGCTGTGACGCCGGCTCTGGGGTCGTGTCTCCCGCTTGTCTCCCTGTGTCTCCCAGTCTCTGCAGTCAGATGCCAGATGCTGCGACGCCGGCTCCGGGGTCGTGTCTCCCGCTTGTTTTGCTGTGTCTCCCAGTCTCTGCGGTCAGATGCCAGATGCTGTGATGCCATCTCTGGGGTCGTGTCTCCCGCTTGTCTCCCTGTGTCTCCCAGTCTCTGCGGTCAGATGCCAGATGCTGTGACGCCGGCTCTGGGGTCGTGTCTCCCGCTTGTCGCCCTGTGTCTCCCAGTCTCTGCGGTCAGATGCTAGATGCTGTGACGCTGGCTCCAGGGTCGTGTCTCCCGCTTCTCTCGCTGTGTCTCCCAGTCTTTGCGGTCAGATGCCAGATGCTGTGACGCTGGCTCCGGGATCGTCGCGGTCAGATTCCTCCGGGGTCGTGTCTCCCGCTTATCTCCCTGCGGTCGGACGCCAGATGCTGTGACGCCGGCTGCGGGGTTGTGTTTGTCGCTTGTCTCCCTGTGTCTCCCCGTCTCTGCGGTCAGATGCCAGATGCTGTGACGCCGGCTCTGGGGTCGTGTCTCCCGCTTGTCTCCCTGTGTCTCCCAGTCTCTGCGGTCAGATGCTAGATGCTGTGACGCTGGCTCCAGGGTCGTGTCTCCCGCTTCTCTCGCTGTGTCTCCCAGTCTTTGCGGTCAGATGCCAGATGCTGTGACGCTGGCTCCGGGGTCGTCGCGGTCAGATTCCTCCGTCTCCCGCTTATCTCCCTGCGGTCGAACGCCAGATGCTGTGACGCCGGCTGCGGGGTTGTGTCTGTCGCTTGTCTCCCTGTGTCGGGATGCCAGCTTGTCCCAGTCTGTGCGATCAGATTCGGTCAGATGCCAGATGCTGTGACGCCGGCTCCGGGTCGTGTCTCCCGCTTGTCTGGATGACGCTGCGGGGTGGTGTTGGCCGCTTGTCTCCCAGTCTCTGTGGTCGGATGCCAGCTGCAACGCCGGCTCTGGGGTCTTGTCTCCCACTTGTCTCCCTGTTTTTTTTCAGCCTCTGCGGTCAGATGCCAGATGCTGTGACGCTGGCTCCGGGGTCGTGTCTCCCGCTTGTCTCCCTGCGTCTCCCAGTCTCTGCGGTAAAGGATGGTCCCGGGCAAAGCCAACTGAAGCTGCTTATTCTTCTTTGAGAGTTTTGGGGCTGACCTTGCTTGCTGCCAGCTGCCTGTTTTCCTGCTTACAGCCCTCAACAGGAAAATGAAGGTCCCGGGCAGAACCAACTGCACCTGTTTCTTCTTACCCAGTTTTGAGGCTGCCACCATCTTAGCCAAAAAATCGTATGAAGCGTGCCTAGGCGACTGATGATGCTAGGATATGCTAGGGATGCAGTTGCGCTGCAGGAAAGACCTCCAGCGGAGGACACCAGCAAGTTGCGTTAGCAAGAAGCACTAGCGAGTTGCACTGGCAAAATGCCACAAGCAAAATGGCGCAAGCCAGTAGCACGAGCAAGATGGCGCTAGCGAGATGCACGAGCCAGTAGTGCTAGCCAGTGGCACTAGCAAGTAGCACCAGCAAGTGGCGCTAGCAAGTTGCAGTAGGAAGTTGCAGTGTGTTGCAGCAATCTCTGCGCGCAGAGAGCTTGCTCAGACAACTTGCTCATTGAAACTTGTTCAGAGAAACTTGCTCAGATAATTTGCGCCAAGAATGGAGAACTTGCTCAAAGGAACTCGCGCCAACAACTTGCTCAAAGGAACTTGCGCACAGAACTTGCTAGGAATACTTGGCGCCGTGCGCAGCTTCGCCTCAACTACGCCTTGAACATCGATTCCGACCCGTTCAAGCAAAAGGTTTCGGTGCTGCTGGACACTCTGCGTGCGTGGTGAACTCCCCAGCAACATTACGGAATGGAGGCTCTGGTGCTCAATGTGGTGATTGCAACAAGGACACACGGTCATGGCCACGTTCGACACATGTTCGGTGGCTGTACAATCTAAAAAGAGCTGCTAACGCCGCCGCCGTGTTTGATGGTTTCTTTTTTGGGGTCCCACCAACAAGAGCCGTTTCGCCAATCGCAGAGGGGCTTCCTGGCTTGGTGGTTTCCTGGTTACTTGCTCTTGGAGATCTGGTTGTTTCGCAGAGAGGGACGAGCGAACACACAGTCAAGCAGGCGTCCTTATCACCTTGTTGCATCGTACGGGGGGGGATTGAGCTCCAAGGTTTTTTCTGACCGGTTTCCAGAAAGATTTGTCCTGGAAGTAAAGCCTGGGTGAGTCGGGTCCCCAGCTAAACCAGTAGCTCGTAAGAGTTGCTCGCATCGGCCCTGCACTTGTCGAGTTCTCCTCGAAAAACTTGGTTGATGCCTGGGAGCCTTTTCCTGGCAACCTACTTCGCTGACCTTGGCAACTTGGAAACAGTTCACGAGCCCGGCCAGTTGACTACAGTTGAGTGAACGCAAGGCCCAGAAGTTGTTGCCGGCGGCGCGCGTTGGAATGACGGCCGCCGGTCGTTCACCACACATATGAACACCAATCTGCGAACCATAAGCACCAACTCCAAGACGAACCCGGCCAAGCTGGTGGTGTCCACTGCGCAGCCAGCATTGGTACGTTGGCCATCTTGGGAGCATGCGGCGCGCTGGACACGACAGAGATGAAGGCCCTGGATGACCAAGCTACTGCCGGCTCAAACACTGAGGATTTTCTGGAGCTGTGGCGGGTCAGAGGTGCGCGCCAAACGGGTACCTTTGCGGACGCTTGCCAATTTGGCGCGGCGTGTGTCTCCGTTGCTAGGCGAGGATGTCCCGGCCGTAACACGACAAGGCGCAGTCTGCAAGTTTATGCAAGTGCTCTCTTGCCTTGCTTGTGGCAAGACAATTAGCCGAGCTCGAGAAGAAGATAGCAACCAGAAGTGGCATGTGTCCAGTCTCGGCCGCAAGCTGCTGAGACTGATGCGCAAGTTTCAGCAGAGTAGCGAGACGGCCACCAAATGCTGCGGTGATGAAAAATGCATTGAGTGTCCGTACTACGAAAGTTCCTTCGAAACTTCCTTCGATTAATGCCAGGGGTTAGGTTGATTCACCCCGAATCCCCGGGGCCTTCTCTCGAACATGCCATTGACATGGCATTTTCCCCGAAGATGAAACATCGATTCTTTTACCCGGCGTCAGGGAGATGGATGGACCCTTGTAACTATGTGTTGCTCACATAATCTACTCAATTTCGCACCTTACATGAAGGAGACAAGCCTTTTTGGGGTTATACAGGCCCGTCATGTGTTTTTGCTGTTTGGGGTCGAGGCTGGTGTAATATTATTTCTTTTTTGGCGGGGGTGGGGGAGGGGGCCCCCCTCCACAGACGTGCCCATGTGAAATTGGTAACCTGTGGTCTCCAGCCTCGGCACCGAGGCGTATTGTTGGGAATTGCCCGGAGCTTGGCAACTGGGTGCCGGAGGAAGGTGCAAAGCTGCGAACCAATAGCAGCAACTTTCCTGTGTGGCACCTCGGCCAAGGAGAGACATTAGAAGGGTTCCCTACCCAGGATTGGGAGATTACAAGGTTTCCTGCAGTGTGTTTCTCTGTTTTGGATCTAGGTAGGAGAGGTGAGGGCAGCCGTTTGCCAGCCGCTCGGTTTGTATTGAGCACGGTGGAGGGCTCTGTTCATTGCAGAAGTTAAGTAGCATATGCACACATAGAAACATATACATACACTGTATGCATATGTAAACAAATGATGAGTATGTATGAATATAGGTTAATTGCCTCTCTCATATTCCCTTGTAGAATGAATAGGTGGCTGTTGCCGCAATGTTGGCGAAGGACAAGTTGCAGAAACTGTGCAGGGGCTCGGAAGCAGTTTGCTTCCCTTGGCCGAGCCTGCAACTGATATGAGAGTTTCTCAGAATGGCTGAATGGTTGACCCTGTGTTGGTAACGGGCAACCCTGGACGCAATGGCAATAACCGCACGAATCTGGCTTGATTCCAACAGAAAAGTGGTCACTCTTCGAGTCTTTAGGACTGATTTACAAGGTTCAATGCTGCTTTAAGTTTATAAGTGGCAATTGTAGCAATGATGATTGCCATGATTGCCCTTAGAACGGTTGTTACAGACCCTTGATAGGCTTGAACAAGTCATGCACTAAATGTTTTCCAAGTACTTGTCGGACCCCGAGAATGATTGTTTCAATAGTAGCTTCCTTGAAGATGAGCCAAACGGGGTTTCCAAATTATCCAGCCAAGAGACCCCAAATAGTGTTGGGTTTAACTTGATGACAGGTGGCCGGAGGAATAGACAGACGTTAAATAAACCCTGGCACCTCTGTCACCTGATGAATCTTCGAGTTCCGATGAACAAGCTCTAGCATCACGCTTCATAATCTCTCCTGGGTCCTGTCAACTTCTCGTGCGTGCGATGCTGTGGCTTGATGCTGTGCGCGAAGCTGTGCATGATGTTATGCCTGATGTCGCGTGACGTTGCGCACGATGCAACGCATGACGCTGCGCATGATGCTTTGCAACCTCTCTTGCCAAATCTTTCATGTCGTCTCTTGAAAAAACTTTCTCGTCCATAGCTGAGCGCAGCTTTGCTGCGCAAGGAGGCTGGCGGTTTCAGCTGTGGAAATACACTTTGCATATTACTTTCGCGCTTACAAGTTGTAATTTACGTGCGGCAGATACGGATGTGTAATTCGCGTGCTGTGGTTCCATTTTAGAGTTGCGACTTTTTCAAGCTGGAGATGCGAGAGCGCACTTTCCGAACAATACTTTCGCGCTTGAAAGTGAGCTTGAACTGAGGGCATTGCACTTCGTGTATGACTTTGGACTTAAAAGTTGCGAGTGGGAACGCGCTTCGCGCACTCATTTGACACTTAAAAGTTGCAACTTTGCAGCCGGAGCGCGCTTCGCATGCGACTTTTGTATTTAAATCTTGCCAATTTCAGCCGGAGCTGGGGTGCTGTTCGCGTTTTGCTTTTGTACTTAAAACTTGCGAGCTGTCAGCCGGAGCTGAGGGAATGTACTCCGCGAGCTACTATTTTTGTATTTCGATTTTGCGAATTTCGAGCCGGAGCTGCCGGAGTGCCCTTCGCGTACTACCTTTTGTACGTAAAAGTTGCGCAGCCGGATCCACTTCGTGAAGGTTACTTTTGTACTTAGAAAGCGCGATTTTACAGCCGGAGCTTCGGGAATTCTCTTCCCGTACTACTTTCGTACCTAGAATTGTTGCGAATTTCGAGCCAGAGCTGAGGTAGCGCGTGGCAGGCGCAGCGTTTCGCTCATTTGCAAGTGCTTGCAAGACGAAAGTGAACCCTCTGTGGGGATCGTGCGTGTCGAAGCGCTCTTGCTGTGGCGCCGTGCGACGTGAAGGGGGCAACGTTTACGTGCAAAGTTAGCACGCAACAGTGAACAAGACAGACCCTTTTATTGCTGAAATGTCGAGCTTGCCACGCAACCCGTAGCACCAGCGCAAAACATACTGTGCCCACCACGAAAACGCATGCCAGTGTCACAGAATGCTGCGCTGGCCATGCCGTGAACACACAAATCGACTATCGGCAAGGCGCCGCAGCGAGAGCGCTGTTTTGATCAAAGGTCCGTTTCACGCAAGGCTGTTTCACGCAAGGCTGTTTCACGCAAGGCAACTTTTTGGGACAACTGCCATGGTTTCAGAGGTTCGATTGTCCAAGCGTCCTGGCCATCCACCGCGTAGCGGCCCTGCCATCAAAAACGCACTTTGATCTCAAAAAAGCGCGTTTGGCGCGAGACTTCCTCAAAACCACACCCCCGCGGCGTCGCGAGAACCTCTTCCTTAAACGTTGCAAAAAAACTCGTTTCGTGCGAGGCTTCCTGCAAAAACCTAGCAGCAGAAGCCGAAAAATGAGAACGTCACAGCGAGAGCGCACCGCCCGCGCGAACAAACATTTCGCGCAAGACTTTCGCCTCGAAGACAGCTTTACACACACAGGGCCAACACTGCGAGCGCGAACCCTCGATCTAACCCAGCCTTAACCCCTTAGCGTCTATATGGGGAACAAAGACAGAAAGGACCAACTCTCGGTTTCAAGGGGTACCACAGTGGGAACCAACCCCTCATTTCCACACCGTTTTCTTGGGATGGTTTCCAAAGGGGCCGGCGTTGAAAACATGAGCAAACAAGCCCTGGGATGGCTTTGAAGGAAATCAAAAGGAAGCGAAGGAACCGCATGGCAATTGATCTGAGCCTTTTAACACTGAGGCGCGGAAGTGTCAAGGTGCCGCGCGACCTCAGCACTTTGGAATTCAAATTCGTCACGGCCGGGGCCCCGAGAGTTCTCACGCGCGGAGCCTCCAGGTCTCACCTTCCCGGTTGCCTTGAAGGAAACCAAAGGAAGTTTCACAAGGGATCTTCGTATGAGGTGAGGGGCCTTCGGTTGCTTAGTGTGACACTGTGTTCATGTTGATGGGCTGGGATTGTTACCGCTCTTCTGGTGTCAGAGAACGGCTGCCCCTCCTTGAAGTGAAGAAAGCGATGTTTTCCCTCCGTTTTTTCCACAACATAACAGAAGTGGCTACTTACTCCCTGCGAAAGACTAGATTGGGACCCAACAAAGTTTCCATTGAACTGGGTACTGGCTTAGCTGCCAAGACTTCTTTGCGCGCGTTTGTGGCCGCCCAGCCGGCGTGCCATCGGAGATGCCATTGACATTGGCCACAAACCTCGCATATGGGATGTGCGTTTTTCTTTTGAGTTGGCACCTTCAAAGGGGGAGTTGTTGTCAGAAAGCATCCTGGTTCCCAAAGCACAGTTGGTGAAAAAAGCCTAAAGGGAGCTTCCTGAGTCACATTCAGTAGTCATTCGGATGGAAACCCCATCTTGGAATCGTAGATAGGGCAGTCAGTCACAACCATGTCGAGGGATGCTCTAGGAACCGCATCAATTCAGCTGAAGTGTATCACCCTTCGATCACTCAAAGTGCTTGGCCAAGACGCGTGTCAAAGTTTCTTTGCTATTTACCTCTTGAGTCCCTAGGTTGTCCAACGTCAGCGGGAGGCTCCAGAACGATGACCTTACATAAGCCTGGTACCCACTTTGTAATCATTGAACCTACGCTTTTAGTTCCCTGGCCTTTTGAGCCAGGAGGTCTTGGCCTGCACGTTGTGCCAGATCTTCAGGGGATTCGCTGAGAGGGCTGGGCGGGGGGGGTGCAGGCTCTTGTAGAAGAGTGCGAATGGCTAGGAATTTCAATGGGGACATCCTCAAAAGTGGTCTGGTGGACCAGAATTCCCCATGTTGATGCTGTCCGCCAAAGGGCCCCCCAATCAAGAGTCATTTTCCAACTACCCATTGAGAAGCACGAAGCTCGAAGAAACCACGGGGTATTGGCGAGGACCCATGTTTCAATGCTTGTTAAAGGCAAACGTGAGCCAAAGCTTGGGCTATCACACATCGCGACATGCAGTGTCTCAAGCAAGTTGGCCCTGCGCAATTGCGCTTCACTTTGAAGCCCTGCTGACACCGCTGCCCTCGTTTCAGGTTTCGCCTGACCATGACCCCGACTGGGAGCCCATCTACTTCAATCGAGCCCCGGATGTGAATCAATGGGCCGCTTTGTCCATCCACATTTGGCCCAGCTGGTGATGTTGTTGAGAAATCCCCAGGAAAGAACATCCGCGGAAGGTAGCCCCTTGTTGGGCTTGAGATCCAGGTATGTGCCAAAAGATGACTGGGCTGTTGGCAATGGCTTAAGAGATCGTAAGAGCTGGTGCACTCTGCCCTGCATTTTGACTGGGTCTCTATGGGCAACAGGCTTCGCCGGTTCTTGCCTGCATGGTGGGGTCCTGGGTGGGGGTTTTGCGAAGAGGCCCTCTATGAGTCTGGTTTCAAGGGAGACCCAAAGGACAAACATCAACGTTCGGGGTTTCTTTTGTTGACACAAACCCATATCATATCTGCTTGGATCTGCAAAGTTGCCCTTTGTGACTTGGAAAAGGCCTTGGCGCGAGCAGTTCCTTGGACGCTTGACACGTTTTCCCGAAAATGCTAGCCAGCATCATAAGCATCAGTGGAGTTGCTGAAGGTAAGCTCAACGCCATGTTGCTGTAGTTCGGGCTTTCTGGGCTTGTCTTGAGACTCCCAGTGTTTGAAGCGTGCCCAAGGCCCCATGGGCTCTGTTTGCACCCCCAGTTGCTGGGCCCGAGGGATGCCTAGTTGCTTTGTTTGGGCTTCGGTGGACTGTCGAAGGAAGCTTGTTGCCTGCCCCTTTGTCGGTTGGGAGAGTGCGCAACCTCCTACAACCAAGGTGTGAACTCTCAGATCTTAGATCTTGCACGACCGGTTGATGTTCAAGTTTGTATCGGTTCGAGTCATTGCCTTTGGATCCCACGCTTTTGTGGCAATCCCCGTTTCAGTATTTGTGGGAGTATTTTTGAAATGTATGATATGTCAAGTTACTGTTATGCGCGCAACTCCCCCCATTGCTCAGTGCCGCATGTGTTTTGTTTGTGTCCTTCCGCTCAAACCATGGTTCCCTTTTTGTTGGTGCCTCTGGGGGCTTCTTTCATTTTGCCTAGCCAGCCAGCATGGGCAAGTTTCCCTTCACCTGATGGGCCTCGTGGTTTCCCAGCAAGGTCAAAGGTTGAGGCCTCGGAATTTTTGGGGATAGGGGTGTCTTAAATCAGATGGGCCTGGTCAGAAATACGTACCCAAATGGAACCGTGGTAAATGGAAACACGGACTAAGACCTGCAGTCCACTCCCTGGTGGTTTTATTTTTGCCCATTGCAGCTTGCCATGTTTGAGGTAAACTGCTCGTGGTTTCAGGCCCCAGGGCAAGCCGGCCCCAGGGCAAGCCGGCCCCACTTCAATGCGACGCCGGCTGGGGATATTTGACTGCCGTTCCTGAGGCAGTCTCGTGTTCAGCGGCGCCAAAGAGGAGCATGTGGATGTTGAGTGGGGCGAAGCTTGAGAAATCCCGCCCTCGGAAGTCCAATGCCCAGCGGGGTTTCACACCGCGAGGCAACGGCCTGCCAAATGAAGGGGGGCTTCATGTTTTCTTCGGCTCCCGTTCACAAACCTTTGAAACATTGGCAACTTGCACCCGGCGGCCCGGCTGGAAGAAATGCAGTTGCTTCATGGCTTCGGTTCCCTTTGCCAGATCTGAAGTTCAGGCGGGCAAGGCCGCAAGGAGCCGCGGAGCCGCGCAAGCGCGCAGCTTTCAGCGTTGAATGTGGAACTTCTCGTTTGTTTTTCGAAGCTTTGAAGAAGTTCAGACGCCCCCCTGCTCTTTCTGGGGAAGCTGCCTTGCAGCCAAGGGGCATCACTGCCACTGAGACAGATGTGGCCAAATGGCCTCGCCTTGCGGCGAGACCAGCTGGAAGCATTGCAAAGCGCTCTGGGGATTCAGCTGGATCTGCCTGTTGGGACAAAGCGAGCTCGCCATGATGTAGGTCCTTTACTTATGGGTTTTGGGCGATGCCCCATCAGATTTGCAATGATGTGCAGGTTCAGTATTGGTATTATTTGGTATTAATTTTGTGGCCCCCTGTCGGTTTACTGTGGTAATAGACATGCATGGGTATAAAGTATAGGGGATGTACATACCCTGAACCCCACTAATCACAGAGTGGTGTGCTTGAAGACTCCCCTGTTTTTGCGTGTCCATGTTAGTTTCAAGGGAACATACACAAGTACGTCTTCTGGATTACCCGTACCAGTGGGTGTCTTAGTATAGAGTCTCAGGATGTCTCAGGTGCCTGCCGGGGGGTAAGCAGCATGCATGAACATGACAAAGAACATGTAAGATGAGAAGCAGCCTTGCCTTGACCCAGGATAACCTTTTAGTTGGACGAAGACCCTTACTACCTACTTAGTTCTCGTTTTTAGGGACGCATGTTGAGTGATGTTGAAGAACAACTGATTCTTGCTGAAACCTTTATACGAATCGTTTCCAGTGATTCCGTGTACCTTTGTGAGAGGCAACCCAGACAACCGCCCTTGAAAGCTGGAAGGAACACGCCAATGCCCATTACAAAGTGCTGCGGAACCCCTGGGGTGCAGCGGCAATGAGCGCATCAATCTGTTTGAACCCCGATAGCCCTGGGGCCGCCCTGCGGCTTGCGTGAAACAAACCTGTGGACGAACCCAAATTGGGTTCGGAGGTGCAACCATGCGGCAGGGATCTTCACACACATATATGTTTAATCCAAAAGGGGTAAGCATGCACGATTCTCGGGTCAACGGAGTTTTCGGCTGACAGGTTTTTGTTTGGTTGTCGGTTTCTTTTGGATTTGGGGGAGGCCAGGATTCCCCGTGGAGTCAGGCCTCCTGGTAGAAACCCGGCCAGTGGCCCTGTGGCCTAGGCCGGGGGAGGGGTAGCTGGGGGAGGGGGGGGTCAGTGCTGTCACGAGCGGTTGGGCCAAGAAGGTTTGAGCCTTTTGGAGGGGCTTGAGCTTCCTCCTCGGCCTTGCTGGGCACACCCCCCTCCCCAGCTCGTGATGGAGGAGCTTCGGGCGGATTTGGCCCGCAAGGGAGGCACTACGGATGATCGGAACTACGGTTTGAACCTGGGCCTCATCGGCAGCGACCTCGACTGGATCGACGCGAGGGCAATCCAGGACCGGGCACGCTCAGCGGCGGACAACTTGATGTCGAAGGGGGCCTACCTGGAATACGAGTGCTACGATGCCAGGGGCCGCAGCCAAGGGCGAGCAGTGGTTAAGATTCGAGGTTGGGCTGACCCTGAGAAAGGCCTACTGGAGGCGGACCACTTGGCAGCGAGCGATGGGTACTACCAGTACTATGGCGAGAGCGAACTCTCGAAGGGCAAGGCTTTATACCACATTTGCGGTGGGGCCCGGCGAGGGTGCAATGTTCATCTCCATCGGGGTGATCGACGTGAGCTTGTTCACCTGGAGAGATGGAGGATGATCAACCCACTCCTCATGAAAGAGGTGGAGTACTTGAGAAGGATTGCCGAGGTTTGCATGCGTGAGCATGTTGTGAACTTCGCCCCGCGGGTCCCAGAGCCAGTGCTGCCCCCCAGAGGCGGCGACATTGATGCCTCGGGGATTGACAAGGCAGTGGCTGAGGCTGCAGCAGATGATGCTGACTATGAAGGAGGAGAGCGAAGGACCGAGGAGGGCCGTCTCCAAGTGGTGCCCCAGGCGTCCCGACGTGGGTCTGTAGGGGCACTGCTCGAGGAGAGGGCCAGAAGACAGACGGAGGGAACTCGAAGGAAGGAAGCAGAAAGAAAAGGGAGAAGGAAGGCAAGAAGCAGAAGCGTCAGCGAAAGGAGGAAGCGATCAAGAGGACGGAGCCGGACTAGGAAGAGAAGGAGGGACAGCCGGAGCCCAGAATCATCTCGGTCGTCGGGTTTTTGCGAGCCCTCTTCCCGGGGGGAGGGCGAGCTGTGGCGGCTAAGTCAACGACACCCCGGGCGCCTGCTGAAGAGCGGGATGAAGGAGCTCGAGCGCTACCTAGCGGCTCGAGCAGGCGAGGGCACGAGCGAGGACGGATGGGCCCAGCACAAAGTGATGGCGTACATCAATCAAGTCATCCTGGCTGTCCACCCCATGCAGTCCATCGGCCTGCGCAACCACAGAGAACTCGTGACTTTGGGGACCAGCTTAGATTTGCTGATGAATGGGAGGCTGGCAGAGCTGGGGGACTTGCTGATGCAAAGACTCAAAGCCCTCGAAACAAGCTTGACCGATCAGAACTGGTCAGCAGCTCGGCATCAGGAGCTGATACCGCCAGTGGCAGCCTCCTTGACTACTTTGGGAGAGCGGCACAGGACGGCCCGAGCCGAGTTGCAGCAGGTGAAGCTGAAGGAAGCGCTGCAGAAGCACAAGGCCAGCAAATAGGGGCAAGGCGGCGGGGACGCAGCCCAAAGCGCACCCGTGACGCCACCCCGTTCCAAGGAGTTGAGCTGGGCCAGGGGGCAAGGAGCCACGAGGTGGCGTCTGACCCCAGGAGATCAAGCGGGAAGCCCCGTGAGGAGCGACATGCGACGAGAGGAGGAGAAGAAGCCGGCAGAGCGCGAGAGTGCCATGCGGAAGCCACGGCACGAGAGCGAAGAGTCCCGGAGGCCCGTTGGCCAGGGGACCGTGCGACGGGTTCAGATAGACGACCGCCCGCGCCAGATTATGAACGAGAAGGAGCAGAGAGAGGAGATGCGGAAAGGAGGAGGGGAGAACAGAGGAAGAGGAAGGGGGTTTTCCCCTCTTTGGAAAGGAGGATCAAAGTCGTGGAATCGCACAGGAAGAGGCAAGGGGAAGCAAAAAGGAAACGGGAAGGTGAAGATGAGGAGTGGAACTCCGATTCCGAGGTAGCAAGCCAAAGGAGTGCTGTTTCAAGCCGGATCGAGGGGAACTCCACAGAGCTCCTGGATGTGATGAGGGAGTGGCTGAGGGGCGAGAATTGCGGGGAACTCACGACCTCTCAATCAGGCGCCCTGCTTGTCTTGATGATCCACCGCAGTGGGACTAACTTGGGGAATTACCTGGAGAAGTCCACAAAGCCGGGGTCAGTCGCAGGCGAGGCAGCGGAGCCTCATGCCTCTGCCGCTGTGGACTGACGTCCAGGAGGAGCTCAAGAAGGTTCTGGAGAGCGGTGAGTACAAGAGACTGGCGGGTAGTTGGGCTGCCAAAAAGCAGCAGAAGCAGAAGGCAGCAAAAGCCGTGAGGAGGTCCGGGCTCCTTATATGGCATGGCCTCGTGGTGATCTTGCTGAACCGCCTCGGAGATGTCAAGATCTCCTACACAGGGGAGATTGTTGACAAAGCTCACAAGCTAACCCTGGCTCAGGTCCTGCCTGGTTTGCCCCCTGAAGGCTACGGAGCCTCTGTCCCGCTGGCCGAACTCTGCGAAGGAGAGTTGAGGGAACGCTTGGAGGACCCCCTGTCCAACCTACTGCCTCAAGAGGAGCTCCCTGAGATCATCCCAAAACCTCGGACTCATGCTGACCAGGACCAATGGGAGGCCATTGTGAAGGTCTTGCATGCCCGCGGCCTTGTGGAGCCGGTTGAAGACCCAGTGAAGGTCAAGGGGCTTCCGATTGAGAACGGAGCCTTCGGAGTCGTGAAGCCTGGCAAGTATTTGGAGGATGAGCGACCGGTCCTGAGATTCATTATGGACTTCAGAGCGACGAACAGTGTGAGCAGAGTGCTCACAGGAGATGTGAAGAGCTTGACGGGCGCTGCGTCACTGCAGCACATCGTGCTACCTGAAGGGAAGGTCCTGAGGATGTCGGCTGATGACCTCGTGGCGGCCTTTTACCTGTTTGCCCTGCCACGTGGATGGAGCAGGCTCATGTGCTTCGGAGGCCCTGTGGCCTGGAAGTCACTGGGCTATGCCAGGGAAGGCCGTGTCCGGGTAGGAGCCACGGTCCTGCCCATGGGATGGGCGTCGGCGGTGGGAGTTCTCCAGCATGCTCACCGCCGGCTAGCCCTTCGCAGCCCGTTGCGTGGCGGCGCTGGCTTTTTGGGACGGTGTGAAATTAGGAGGGACAGTGTCTTCCCGAATCTGGAGCTGGGAGAGTCGCTGTGGTCCCTGTACTTGGATGATACGGATTTGATTGAGATCATGGACAAACGGCTGGGAAAGGAGATGGAAGGAAAGAATTCCGAGGAGCAGCTGAGGCTTAGGAGGGCTTATGAGCACTGGGGCATCCCAATCAGCTTGGAAAAGGCACTTGTGAGGGCGAAGCAGGCTGAAAAGCTCGGAGCGGTCATTGACGGTGACCGAGGGCTTTTGAGGGCAGCAACAAGGCGTGCGCTAGAGAGCCTGTCCTTGGGTGCCTGGATGCTGCGCCAGGAGGAGGTCCCACGGAAAGCCCTACAAGTTTTCTGCGGAAAGGAGGTCCACACTATGCAATTCCGTCGGCCTACCTTTGGGATCTTCGACTACATTTGGAAGGACATCAGCGATGGGGGGCCGATGGTCCGCCTGGAGGAGAAGTCTGTCGAAG